ATAACATGGTTCAGATTTTAGTTACTATGATACCCTCTCTACATAAATAACAGATGCCCATCATGACCAACAAGCAATCATATCATTTATTTCAAAGTCTGTTGTTGATGCACAAAGTCTCCCTTCATGTAGACAGCAAAGCTGGAGTAATGTTGCCTGTTTGTTTCCTGGTGATAGACACATGACATTTAATAAAATGAATAATCAGAAGACAGAGTTGGCCAGTAAAGACGAAAGTGAAGCACTATATGAGAAACTGTAGATATGCAGTTATGGAAACTTAATGAGGGTGAATGTATCAACCTGTGAGGCAAATGGCTGTGATGAAAACAATGAAGGTGTCCCAGAGAAAGAGATGTCTGCAAAAACTATCCATTAAATGAACTCTTGGAGATATTTCTGCAATCAAAAGTGCAAAAGACAAAACGTTGGAAGCTGATCCAAACTTAGAAAGGAACATGACAATTCCCCAAGGCATAGAAAAGATGTTCAGTACTTATCATAAGTTATATGCTGATGAGAAGGTAAGTGCTCTTCAAGCTGCTCTTGATAAGTTTTTACAAAGAAATAAAACACTTTAATTTTCAATCTCTCTAATATTAAAAATTATATACTAAATAAATATTAGTTTTAATATCTTTTCATTTCTCTATAGCCAACAGTAAGAGAATTTTTAATATCTTGATAAAAATTTAAGAGGTCACAGAACACTTGCAATTATGCATGACTGCTTTTGCAGCAGTCACTTGGCTTAAAATGCCTCCCACCTAGCAATCTAATAAGCATCTTTCAAGACCAGTTCATATGTGAAGATTGCTTTGCACACTTCCAGTTTGCATGATTGTTTTTATGGTCTTGCAGTATTGTGTAAAGAGACGGCTGTCTGCATAATAAAATTACAACTTCCTGCACATACAAATGTGTCGTCTATAAAGTTCATAGAATCTGAGAATTGTATGGATGGGTTTGTATGGACTACACCTATCATATTTTGTTAAAACAATTTGTGTTAGTTTGGTAAGTAGCATAGCATAGGGGTGAGCGTGCAGGACTGGGATATTTGGAGTTTTGTGCTCTGGTCTCAGCTTTGTGGTTAAATTACTGTATAATGCACGACAAGTTACTTAATTTCCTTGTTTCTATTTCCTCCCTGTAAAATAGGTGCACAAATAAGACAATTTTTAAAGTTCCATTGGGCATTAAGTTTCTAGAGTTCTCTACCGTTATTAAAGAGAAAAAAAGAGGGTAGAATGCCCTCCCACCAAGGCTTCTTCTGTTTGCATAGGAACTATGAATGTTTATTGAGTAAATAAATAATTAGCATGACTATGGTGCAGTAGGGCTATGCATAAAATGTTTGATTTTGGTGAGAAGCTTCTGTTTATTGTACTCACTATTTTCATGTTGCCATTGCATATTAAACCACAGCTACTCTAATAAGTCAGGGTGCACTATTATGTATCCTTTTCAGCATGGTTGACTATTTGTTCATATACTAAGCCCAATGCGGCCCTACATGAGAAAAAGTGAATTCCTGCCTTGAAGGATCTCACAATGGGGTGAGGAAAACAACTTCTTTCTGAAGGATGGGCATTTGAAATGGGTTTGGGAAGATGCATATGAGGTAGCCTGACAGAAGAAGAGAAATGGGGGTGGCAGGGCATGTTAGAAAAAGGGAATGGCGGCACTAAGGCATGGATGAATAAAATAAGATGAAGAATGTGATCACCAAGAGTAGAGTGACAGGATGGGCAGAGGAGTGGGGAGAAGAAGGAAGTAGAAGTGGGAGATAGCACTGCGGGGTTCTGTGTAGAAATTAGAAAACACTCTAGGTATTTCTAACAGGAAGGTTCTAATACAGGGAATTAGGTGCTTACACAATTGTAGGAGGGAAGGGAAAGTGGAAATTAAGAGGCTGTTGTGAAGTGTTTTTGGATCGTGCCACCATGGCTGCTGCTCAGAGGATGGGGCGAATGCTGCTGCTGCACGATGGCTGGGAACAGTGTAAAACCACTGCCCGTGTCACAACTGATACACAGTCCTGGACTAGACAGTAGAATAAAGCATGGCTGCTGCAAAAACTGAGCCTGCTGCAATTTGTGCATGAATTGCTTCTACTGTAAGAGGGAGAACAGCCTCAGCTTCCTTTCTATCTACCAAATCTTGCATGAGTCTATTTTACTAACAAAATCTTCTGTAGCAAGGGAATGTGGGAAATGTAGTTGCCTGCCTTGTTGCCCCTGTGATTAAAAAAACTTAGAAAAGGAGTGAAAATCAATGCTGAGGGTCAATAGGCAATATCTTGCATAGCTGGCAGGCAAGTTGAGAGCCAGGGTAGACTCTGTAGGAACTGGAAAGGCATGCCTAAGAGGAAAACGCTGCATGTCATGCCGCTAAAGTTTAAATGCAGAGGCCAGGCGCGGTGGCCTATGCCTGTAATCCTAGCACTTCAGGAGCCCGAGGTAGTCAGATCACGAGGTCAGGAGTTCGAGACCAGCCTGACCAACGTGGTGAAACCCCGTCTCTACTAAAAATACAAAAATTAGCCCGACGTGGTGGTGCGCACCTGTAGTCCCAACTACTCAGGAGGCTGAGGCAGGAGAATTGCTGGAACCCGGGAGGTGGAGGCTGCAGTGAGCCGAGATCGTGCCATTGCGCTCCTGCCTGGGCAATAAAGTGAGACTCCATCTCAAAAAAAAAAAAAGTTTAAATGCACAATTATCATGATTAATTTTGTTTTATGAACATTGGTGATGCTGTGGAGGCCATTCTAAACTAAAACCAACAAAAACAAACAAAACAAACAAGCGATGTATGTGGAACCGTGCAATGAAAGAGCTCTCTAAGGTTTTTAAAAAACAATGTTTGTGCTAACTCATCCATCCCATATTCTTCCCCCCAACTTTGTATTGGGTACACATTTTGTGGTGGGTATGGTGAATATGGATATAAGTCACCTGGGGCTCTGCCCTTACGAAGCTAGTATTGTTTTTCTTTTCAGTGAAGAGTAAGTAAATTTTAGGGGTTGTTTAGGGGATTCTTTACTTCTTGGAGTATCTTCTGCTGCTTGTAAGATAGTCTAAGAAAAAATGGTCTCATAATCAAACCAGTTAAAAAACTTGAATGTATATTTCCTCTTATAAGTTGATGTCTCTAATCTTACAGTAAAAAAATAATTGTTTTACAGGTATTATCCACTTTTATTTGATTCTTACTATGAAGAATATTGAGTTAATATCTTAATATTAAGAATATTGAGTTCTTCAGAGCACAGTGGGGGCAAGACTGGATGTTTCTACATTAATAGAAGAGACAGTCAAATTGAAGACTACCAGTGGGTTAGTTACAAAAAGAGGATTTTGATGTAAGAGAAGGAAAATCAGAAAAAATTTTAGCTTTGGGTATGATTTATTAATTTCAGAAGCATTTTCGGATAGAAAAGGACATCGAATTAATCAAACTGATTTTCACACTAAAAACAAATCGATAGCTGTCAAAAGTTACTCTGATAAGTGTGAAATATGGAGTGCCGTAACTGCAAATCCTGGACAATGGCAGCTGGTAACTATTGTAACAGGAGATTGAATGGGAAGCTTGGCTACAGCACCTAGTCACAGGAAATGCTGCATTCCAAAGGTGTTGGACTCTGCAGGATTGATGGAGGAAGTTTTACAAAACTAGTGAACCAAGTATTGAATGCCTTCACCTACAAGTCTGTGAAAGGGTTGAAGGGATGGAAAAAGAAATGGATATAGTGAGGATCTCTTTGAAGTTATGCTGTAATTCTTCGTTTCTTCCACTTACGAGCCAATAAGGGGAGGTGTTCAGGGTGATGCTTCTCTCTCAGCTCTTTCCTGCAGTGAGACGTGTGCTCTGGTGTCTGACTCACCTAGGGGACCTAAGGGAGATGAGTGGGCCAGCAGCTTTGGCAGTGGAGGGAGGGAGAAGCCTGTGTGTGTGGCTGGGTTTTCTCTCCTAGAATCAAGGTAAAGATCACTGGATGTGGCTGATAAGAGATAGGGCCTGTATTAATCCATTCTCATGCTGCTGATAAAGATGAACCTGAGACTGGGTAATTTACCAAGGAGAAAGAGGTTGAATGGACTCACAGTTTCATGTGTCTGGGGAGGCCTCACAATCATGGCAGAAGGCGAAAGGCACGCCTTACACGGCAACAGCCAAAGGGGATGAAAGTCAAGTGAAAGGAGTTTCCTTTTAAAAGACCATCAGATTTCATGAAACTTATTCTCTACCACGAGTACAGTATGGGGGAAACCACTGCCATGATTCACTTAACCCCATCGGGGCCAGACTAGGACCATTCAAAATCCTGCCCAAGGGTCTGTGTGGAATGGACGGCAGGAGAACCAGCAGCAGAGGGAGAGCTGCAGCTGGAAGAATATGTATTGCTTGCATCACAGTTCAGGCAAATGCTCCCATGATGAGGCCTTTGAAGAATTCTCCATGTGAATCAGCTCAAACATCTCCAAGTGTCACCTCAGAATTTAGCAGGGGAGTCCGACAACAGTGCAACATAGATCACTCTGGGGATATAAAGAGCTAGGGGACATCAGATTAAGTCTGCTTGCAGGTCAATTAAAAGTGAGGGCTAACAATAGAAATTGGCTTTCAGTGAAAGGTGGGCATTAGCTACACCGAGAAGCATTTGACTTCATGGATGCCACAAGAAGTTGAGGGGTGGTCTGCATTTACCTGTGATTCCTAGATTGGATAAACATCAGAATCATCTGGAAGCTCCAAACCTACAGAGATTGGGACTTAGTAGAAATCAGAAGCTCAATTACACAGTGCCTCAACCCCCGCAAGTTCCCATGAAATTCTGATGCAGTAAGTTTCAGCATTTAGTAACCACGGGGTGGTGTCAGCAAAAAAGATCTGACTTACATTTATGAGGGCCTGGTTGCCTATGTTGTAGCTGTTAAGCGTTTTACTCAAAACAGTATGCAAAAAAAGCCTACCAAAAATACAACCACCATCTCTTCTTAAATGAATTATTTTTTATTGCTATTTTATAAAGCTTAATATTTTCCTAAAAATATTAGAAAAGAATCAGAACAAAAAAATCAGTTTACATGTAGTACAGTTACAAGTAAATAGCTATACATAACATAGCCATTAGGAAAAAGAGCAGAGCTAAATAATAAGAAAACAAAAGCAGTAAGCAGCAATAAAATTAATACCTACATACAACTAGCAGTGCAATAAGATAAGCAGAAAGCAGCTTTACGTTAAAAGAAAGTTATTTAAATACAGAAATAGCACCTTACAAAAAGGAATTGAGAAATGTAAACTTGGTAGGTAGATTCAAGTATAAAAGTTATACCCCCGACTCTTGTACCAGAATGAAAGGGTTTTACAAACCCTGGTCAGTGTAGGGCACACACAGCCTCTGTGACAACTCAAAAAAGCTGCATTCTCTTAGTAGGACCACCACCAATTATTTTTTTCTTTTACTAAGTTATACAATAATAGACTCAAGATTGCCATTGCTTCTTCACTACCCAAAATATCCAACTCTAGCGCAGCAGCTTCAATTCCACCAGTTGTTCTGTAAGATTCATTTTCCTGACAAACAACCACTGCATTATTATTTTTACATATAAAGCCACATTAAGTGGATACTGAATACAGAAGCAATTGTGCTTGGTTTTCTATTCCTAAGTATGGTCACCAAGTCATAATATCCTCACCAATGGGACTGCTTCTTAACACCCCTCAAGAAATATGAATTCTGAGGTTAAGATGGTTATATCATGATCAGAATAAAAAAAAAATAGCAAAAATGTTAAAACAAGTATACAGCATTCAGGAACAGTGAGGGGAAAAGTAATTTGTGTTTCCATCTAAATGCAGACCTCTCCATGAAATATTTTGTGGAAGTTCTTGAGCATGGGAGAGTTAAAATGCATACACCCTGCACAGATTGAAACCTGAAAAAGGTATATTTTTATTTGTTTTGATAGAGAACCCATCAGTTTTAGTTCAGGATCATCAGTACCATGCAATTGTTGATGTGGTTAAAAACCACATTTTTAACCTAACTCTACAGAAGACTGTAAAAAAGGAAAAAAAAAATCTTGTAAACTTTAAAAGTTTAGTGTTGATAAAAATTTTTATATAAGTAGCAAATTTATTTAATGTAGCTACCTACCTCAAGTTTAAAAAAATCTTGTGGGGGTAATAAGGCTAATATTATCCTGTAGTTAATATAAAGCTACTTTATTCAGACTCCCAGAGTCTCTTAAATTAATATTTTTATTCTTTCATATAACATTTTATTGGGTCAAAAAATAAAAATAAAATAAAACCCTACACCAGGATTCTACATCTAAGATAGAAGTTTTAAGAGAGGAAGAAGGAAGGAAGAAAAGAAGCAGGAAGGAGGGAAGGAAGAGGGAATGAAGGAAAGTAGGAGGGAAAGAATGGCTCCCTTGTTCTCTGAAGAGACAAGAGAGAGGTAAATATCAGCAAGTCTAGGAATACAAAGAACTAGTATAGTTTGGCTACTTAATGCACCCCTAAAGTAATGTGGGTTAAAAAAGGGAAATTGCATAACAGTTTCCAAAATTGTATTCATGCTAGAACAACCAACCCCTGTGCTCACCATACTTATTTTTCAGAGGTACCATCTAACTATGGTTTGAATACCCTTGGTTATGAAACATATGTCCATTTTCCCTCTTACTCTTCCGCACATGAAGTAGAAGAAAAACAAAAGAATCATCTCTTGCCCTATATCAATTTTCACATAATTACTCTTCAGAATTCAGCAAAAAGGTCTCATCCAGGTTCCAATTTCCCATGTAATCACTTTCTACCATCCTGATTTTTACAAACAGCAATTGTTAGAAGACATCCATATCTGATAGCTCTACAGCTAAACATTTAAATAAAAAACGCAGGGCATGTAGTGAAGGAAACTGGGCACAGTAGGATTTTTAGAAACGAACAGTACTATCTCCCTGTTCACACAGTTATTTGAGAAGCAGCAGTTAGGCTGCTAGAGTTCTAGAGTTCATCTTTGTTCTCATGCCCACAGTCAGGGTTAGCACAGTTCATTTACAGCAAGGTGTGTCGTTCACAGTTATTTTGGTCTTGACATGTGTCATGTAGATACATTTATCCACATTATTACTAAGTTGTAGAATAAGTGCAGGGCAAATTATAGAATAAAAGTACAAACATTCAAGTCGTCATACCCTGAAAAAAAATGTGTTAAAGACTGTAGTTGTAAACTTTTTGCACTAAATCCCATTTCAGGAACAAAATAAATAATACCATAGGATTCACAACTGAAGGTGGCTTCCTGATAAAGCCTAAGGAAGCAGTAGCCTTTTTAAACTGCAGAAAGGAAGCTTTTCTCACCACAGATTTACTCAGGGTAAGTGGAAATACATGTTAAGAATGCTTACCCTAGTTAAGTGCTAGACAGCGCCCCTCTTTAGAAAAACCACAAGGCTCCGGTAGCCTATTCGGATCTACTTCCAGCAATAAGACGATTCTTGAATCAAAACCATTAAAGTCAGTCGGCGCTTTCACTGTGACACCATGCAGAGAGTCGGAACTCTAACTGGTATTAAATGCACAATTAATTACTTTCAGGAAATCAGATGATTGATGATGGTGGGAAGTTAACAGAAGTGTGGATGCAAGAGAGAGGAAGGACCCGTGCTCAGGACAGGACGGTTTGCATTGCGTCTAGGACATCCGGGACTCTCAGGGCGTTTGATCCCTCCCCCACCTGGCAAAGCAGCAGGTCAGTCAGCCCCGCCGCTGGGGATTTCCAGTCTCCTCTGGGCCGAGCTGGTGTTTCGTGACTGGTTCCTTTCTCTTCTCTTCAGGACAGGGTCTCCAAGGCTGCCAGGTGTCTTGAAAAATGTCTCACGATGTGTGCGTTCGATGCTCTTGGGGGTCACTGGAACTGGTGACTAAAAAAAGAAAAAAGTAAAAGCAGAAGTGAAGTTACATTGTTTCTGATCCCTGATAGAAAGGCAGCCCTTTCTTGACCTGTGTGTTAGGATCCCAAGGCAGGTGTTCCTCCTTCTTTGCTTTCCTATCATACTTATGCCGTTTGTCTCCCCTGCTTACCACAACCGAAAATTAAATTCACATTTGTTGTTTTGGGTGCAGAAAGGCAGCCTACTAAAGAGGTTACAAGTGTGGCTTCTAGAGCCAGGGACTGGGCTCTACGACCGTTGACAAGGCAATCTGTCCCTCAGTTTCTTCCTCCATCCAGCGGGGATGGTAAAAGTACTGACTTCACAAGGTTGTAGGAATTAAATAAGATAATAATTGTAAAGCACTTTAGAGCATGTGAGGCCAACATGGTTTGTGTATTGGCTCTTTCTCTTTACTTGCTAATATTTATCCCCTAATGTTAAATGTTAAATATTTATTCCCTTAATGTGCCCTAAAATGGCAGGGACCATTACCCTGTTCACGGCTCTATCTTCATTGCCTAGATCGGTGCCTGGCACATGGTGATACAAAATTCTATGTTATGCTATAATCATCTTGTTTTAAAACTAACATGTTCATTTCAATGTCTTGCAAACCTTTGAGGCTCTGAATAACTTGTCTAAAATATTTTTTGGCTAAACATAATTCTTTGTCTGGGAGAGTAAGTAATCACTGTGAACAACCTAATGTATAATAGGAATTCAACAAATATTTGATTGAACCACAAATGGAGGTTGGGGGACAAATACAGACTCATTAACTTATATCGATAATATATCTTTTTGTATATTTTTATGTCTTCTGAGTATGTATAGATGTATATATATACAGACATTATACACACACAACAGTCTCTAAACATCACATCTTAAGAAATGACTGACAGGCTAAGCATCTCTGAGTTACTATCAAGATTTCTGTTTCTTTTGATTGTTTTTATAGCTGTATAATTAAAATTTAGGGTGGCTTATTGACCTAGTGAAATAAAAGCTTGAAGATCATCAAAATAATGAAACTATTTAGCATTCCTCAAAAATCCCCCTGAACTATGCCTAAAACAGGTCCCTCTAATTAAAAGAAACAGAATGACACCTAAAAACAAACATTTTTGTCTTTAAAGCACAGGATTTCTCACCTCATGTCTCAGTGCTTTATAAAAGGAGCAGATAACTCTAGGTCTACAATGGAAGCCAGGTGGAGCCTGACCTAGTACCTCTGTCCGGCAGTCATGTGGCTAAAATGAAAGCTAGTTAAACACAGGCATATCCCTTCCCAGAATGACAGTGTCTTCAGGAAACTTCAGGCCTCACCTGATGTAATTTTACTACTGAGACTGGATGTCCCATGTAAACGGGGGACTCAGGTTGGACGACACTGTGTGACCTTGACATCACTGGACTCAGGTTTAGTGAGGGCTGACCCTGAAGCTGAGGGTCTGCAGAAGGGAGTGTGGACGACTTTGGATTAACCACAGCTGTGGGGCCGACGAGAAGCTGGGCTATTGATCCAAGGCCAGGCAGGCTGAAATTCACAGGTCCTGTGTTTGGGAGAGCACCAAGAGTAGAAGAAACTGGGCCCGGCATTGCAGGAGAATAGAGAACAGGAAAAGGGCCCAGAGATGGAGATGGTAAGACCATGCAAGGGACACTGAAAGACGGCAGCTGACCTGAGGACGGGCCCACAGTAGGGGGGGTGTGACTGCCAGATAAAAGTACATTGAAACCATTTAATCCTGAAAGAAAAGCAGAACAGGTGAAAATCAATATATGTCATCATGAGGATACCATTCAAGCTCACATTTGTCATGGCCCTTTCAAACGGGAGTCCACAATAAATCAAAGAATGATGAGGCCTTCCCCCAGCTGACCAGGCCAAACAGCCCACACCCTGCTCCTTCACAGCTGTGGCCAAGATTGTAATCCCACATTTATCTGATGCCTGTGAAGTTTTTAACATGAGTTCCACTGAACCCAAACTGAGAAGGCAAAAAGCTTGGATGGGAAAGATTACATCTTTATTTTTATTTATTTACTTATTATTATTTTTTGTTTTGTTTTGAGACACAGTTTTGCTCTGTTACCCAGGCTGGAGTGCAGTGGTGTAATCATGGCTTACTACAGCCTCAACCTCCTGGGCTCAAGCAGTCATCCCATTTCAGCCTGCAGAGTAGCTGGGACCACAAGCACACTACCACACCCGCTAATTTTTTTTTTATTTTTTGTAGAGACAGGGTCTTCCTATGTTGCCTGGCTGGTCTCAAATTCCTGGGCTCCAGTGATCTTCCCACCTCAGCCTCCCAAAGTGCTGAGATTACAGGCATGAGTCACTGTGCCTGGCCAAAATATCTCCATAAGTTCCTAACTGAAAATTTTTATTTCCCTCAATTATCACAGGCAACAAATCAACAATTTTAACAGTCCCTTGACTTTGTCACTAGGAAATAGTACAGACATGTGAATATTACATTAAAGCTATTACAGATTTCTTAATATACTGTCAAGCTCATCACAACTTGGAAATTTTGACAGTATTGGGCTTGCTGCCAGGTCTTTTTATTACTATCAGTAATTTTAAAAATGGTTTTTCTAGTTGCATTCAATATAATTGGCTTCCTTTGTAATCCCATGTATTTAATTCTATGTATCTATAAACATTCTGAGGAGGAATCCATGGCCTTCACCAGAGTGCCAAAAGATCCATGGCACAGAAAAAGTTAAAAATCCCTGTGCTGGGCTGTAATTTTCATTCAGCAGGGGCTGAATCTATTTTTGTTCACCCGTGTATCCCCAATATTCAGTGCTTAGAGAAAGCACTAAAAGATACTTACTAAAGGAATAAAGAGTTTTTTTCTAGATAAGTGAATAATCATAAATACTAACCTAACCTGTTCTAGCAGGTTAGGCTTAAGCCAACAAGGAATTGAGGAAAATCAATTTAGGTATCTTTGCATCAAGAGTAGCTTTATGTACAAAGTACATATTTTTAAAATCTGGTGTCTACTGTATTTCGGCTTTAATTCAAAATAGTAACAGCATTTATTGAGTCTTACTAAGTGCCAGGTGCTATTATTCTAAGTGCTTTAGATGTATTATCTTATTACATTTAATTCAATTTTCACAGCATCTATACGAAGCAGGTGCTATTATTACTGCTGTTTAACCAATGAGGATGAAGAATACTTAAATTCACGCAATAAGTGGTTTTAAATGTCAAGCCCTCTTACTCCAGACCTGGCACTTGGTCATGATGCTATATACTCAGTACCTCTAGATGTTCAAGACCTCAAAACACTAGCTGCACACAATGGCCAACAGGTTCATACTGTTATACTAAACCAATGCTAGATTCAGCTGAATTACCGTGCTTTTCCACCAAATAATGTTTAATGTATTTTTTTAATCATCTGCCTCAATTATTTTCCCATTACTCCTGAAGTTGGTGAAAGTAGAATCAGCTTCTCCATTTATAGATGGAGAAAACAAAAGGGCTAAGAGTAAAATGACTTAGGCACATCAATAAGCCACTTTGGTCAGGTGACACAGACAAAAATTTAAAAATCCAATTCATGATCTTACTGCCACAAGGGACTCTAAGACATGATGATATCCCTTACCTGCGGGAGACTGCACACAAAGATACTGTAGCAAAGAAGGCTCTTTGGTGCTTTCATTTTCTTTTGAAGGCTTTTCAACATCTGTATTTCTTGAAGGATTTCCCCACTCAGAAGAAACAGAACAGTTTGCTGTTGCCTTTCCTGAAATCTCTTCTGCAGCAGGGAGATGGCCATTCACATGACTGTCTTTGAGGGGTATAGATGCCCTGTTACCCATAGTCTTGGGAGAGGCAAGGTCTGTGGAATCTGAGGGTTTCTAAACACAACCAAACCAGGAAGCAAGAAAGTAAGTCAAAATTCCAGTAGTAAATCTCTTTTTTTTTTTTTTTTGAGATGGAGTCTCGCTCTGTTGCCCAAGCTGGAATGCAGTGGCACGATCCCAGCTCACTGCAACCTCCGCCTCCCGGGTTCAAGTGATTCTCCTGCCTCAGCCTCCCAAGTAGCTAGGATTACAGGGGTGTCCCCCATGCCTGGCTACTTTTTGTATTTTTAGTAGAGATAGGGTTTCACCATGTTGGCTAGGCTGGTCTCGAACTCCTGAACTCAGGTGATCCGCCCGCCTCAGCCTCCGAAAGTACTAGGATTAGTAAATCTTTTTTTTTTTTGAGACAGAGTCTCACTCTGTCGCCAGAGTGCAGAGGCGCCATCTCGGCTCACTGCAAGCTCCGCCTCCCGAGTTCACACCATTCTCCTGTCTCAGCCTCCTGAGTAGCTGGGATCACAGGTGCCTGCCACCACGCTCGGCTAATTTTTTTTTTTTATTTTTTATTTTTAGTAGAGACAGGGTTTCACTGTGTTAGCCAGGATGGTCTTGATCTCCTGACCTCGTGATCCACCTGCCTCGGACTCCCAAAGTGTTGGGATTACAGGCGTGAGCCACCGCGCCTGGCTGGGATTAGTAAATCTTAATAACAGCTCTCTTAATATTGCTAACACATAAAGGTAGCATACAGCTGCGTGCTACGCTGATTTGTGTATATCAGTGGTTTCCATTGTATTTGTAGGAATCGTCTGAAAATGTCATGTCATGTGCATTGATAGTATTGTGATTTCAAAGTAGAGAAATGATAGAGATTTTAGCAATGGAAAACTAGCCATCGTGGTTAGACTGTGAGATATATTTCTGAGCTAGTAGCACACATAAAGGGTGTTGATACTAGTCTTTTGGGGTCTCATAAGAACTGTGGGCTGGCCCAAGATGTCTTGATTACCTAAGACATATGCCAGTCTTTCACTTCTGATCTGCAACCCCAGGCTATCTACAAAATGAGAAAGATTCATTCTGGCAAGAGAAAAAAATAGAGAAAGGTTCTTAATTAGTGTAATGATTTCCAGGAAGTGTGCCCAGCCTACCCACTGCAAACCACTGTAATGACAGTGCTCCTGCTTTCTGAGAGTTTTACTGGTCATATCTCATTAACCTCTGAACGGCTAGTAAGCAGGAGATGTGGACAGCTCATATTTTTGTTCTTTTCATTTTGAAGTTAGAGAAACAGGATCACTGAGCAGTGAAGAGCTGACCAAGCGTAAGATCTGATAGCCAGACAGCACCCACATTCCTCCCTCTGGAACTCAGCTGCATCCTGGATTAAGATGTTTATTTCAGTGATCCTAATTTGTTTTAAAAAAAGGATGTAAAAAGCTGGAAGGAAATATATAAACATGTTAACAGTGATGCCTCTATGTGGTGGGATTCTGGGTAACTTTTCTTCTTTATACTTTTTAGCATTTTATAGAAAGTGTGAGTTTTATAAAAATCACCTTTCTTATGCACTATTTTAAGGCAAGATTTTTGGCAGAGCCACTTCAGTGCTTAATGAATTACACAAGTGACTTGAAATAGCCCCATATTCCAGACTCCATCGCTTATTAATATCAGTGTATCTTCATTAGGAAGAAGCTCAGGGCTAACAGGATGTCACCAGACACATCCACCTGCACTCCCTTACCTTGGGCATGACAAGCGACAGTGGGCCGTCTTCATATTCCCTGCTTTGCCTTTTCGTGGCTGGCTCATCCTCCTCCTGAGGTTTCCTTTCCTCACAGAGGCGCTTCTGAGCTGAGGGTGCGGATGACAGCTCTGCTGTGGCTGGGGCTTCTGAGTTTCTGTCATCCCTCTCTGACCCTGACCCTGACGCTGGTCCCTCCTGCAGACTTCCATACAGCATGAACAGTGAGGCAGAGGGCACGTACACTAGAGGCTGGCCAGCAAGGAGTGCCGGCTTCAGGCTCTCCACAGCAGAGGCTGCAGAAGCAAGTGAGACGTCCACTTGTCCATTCAGACCGTTCTGCACAGAGAATGCCTGCAGGTCCGTCTGAGCAACAGAAAATACCGGGTGGGCTAAAGGATTAACACAATATTCTGGGTCAACAGAGAGGACAGGGAAAGGAGCAACAGGGTCCAAGCCGCTTGATGGAGGCACCACTCTCTTACTGGCAAAGGCTTTTCCCCTGTAATAAAAAGAAACGTAATGAAGTTAGCACATTCTATCAACTCCTGACCCTTTACTTTCCCAAAGAGAGCCATGCCAAATCAGGAATGAGATAATACTCCTCAGGCGGATACGAAAGCACACTCGCTGAGCACGTGTTAGCTCGTCCCAGAGGCAGACACTCAGGTATGGCCTGGATAAATGGTTAGGATGGGGTGGGAGAGCCGATGTGGGAAGAGCCATTGGAATCTCATGTGAGAGTGAACATTTCTTCCTCCTTCATCTCTTCCACATCTGATCGTTATCAATTACCAAGCACTTACACCCTTGCCAGGCATGTACATACTATTATAATTAGCATAATATAACAATTTTATGCAATTATTATAATAATAGCTACTCTTTGGGTGCGGTGGCTCACGCCTGTAATCTCAGCACTTTGGGAGGCAGAGGCGGACGGATCACGAGGTCAGGAGATCGAGACCACAGTGAAACCCCGTCTCTAATAAAAATACAAAAAGTAGCTGGGTGCAGTGGTGGGTGCCTGTGGTCCTAGCTACTCGGGAGGCTGAGCAGGAGAATGGCGTGAACCCGGGAGGCAGAGCTTGCAGTGAGCCGAGATCACGCCACTGTACTCCAGCCTGGGCGACAGAGTGAGACTCTGTCTCAAAAAAAAAAAAAACAAAAAAAAACGCTACTCTCATTTCCCCCAGTTTACTAGTGAGGAAGACTGAAGTGCAGCGGTTGATCACCCTGCCCTGGGTGAGCCAGTTCTGAAGTGGGAAGCTGGGCCCATGCCCACATCTGTTTGATGGCAAAACCCATGTTCTCAGTGACTGTGAGAGATCCTGGGAGAGTAACAGAGACTGGACTTTGATTTAAAAAAAGATTAATCTCATTTGTCTCATTTCACAAATCCAGTATGAAAGAAATGAAGTGGGCAGTGAGGAAACAAACTTATCTTCTCAATTATTATTTTCTGCCATTCTTGTCCCATTCTGCTCTGTGTTGTTAACAACACTTTAGGCAGCACACAGTCAAAATTAAGTCCCATAAATGTACAAGTTTACAGGCCAGCACAGTGGCTCATGCCTCCTGTGGGGTGCCTAGGAGGATTGCTCGAGCCCAGGAGTTTGAGGCTGCAGTGAGCTACGATCATGCCACTGCATTCCAGCCTGGGTGACCCTGTCTCTAAAATAAGAAAATGAAATAAATAAGATATAAACAATGTTGGGGCCTTTCGTTTGGAAAAACTTCCAAATATTTAAAACCATGTTTATGTTCTTACTATTTTTAGGAATAGAGAAGAACGATCCTTTAAGAAATAGTAAACAGAGGGTCAGGTGTGATGGCTCATGCCTGTAATCCCAGCACTTGGGGAGGCTGAGGCAGGTGGATAACCTGAAGTCAGGAGTTCAAGACCAGCCTGGCTAACATGGCGAAACCCCGTCTCTACTAAAAATACAAAAATGAGCTGGGCGTGGTGGCGCGTGCCTGTAATCCCAGCTACTCTGGAGGCTGAGGCACAAGAATCACTTGAACCCGGGAGGCGGAGCAGTGAGTCGAGATCATGCCACTGCACCCCAGCCTGGGCAACAGAGTGAGACTCTGTCTCTAAAAAGAAAAAGCAAAAAGTAGGAAAAAAAAAAAAAAAAGAAAAAAACACACACTCACCCACAACAACAACAACAAAACAGTAAACAGAGGACTAGGATTTCTTTCTGTCTTTCTGATAGAATCACGACGACCTGTTTTGCCCACCATCTCACTGCCCACTGTGCTGCTGAGAATAAAATGGAGCACCCTGGGCCACAGAGATGAATCCTCTCTCCAATCAGCTGCCTCTGGTTGAGTAATGGGTATTGCTCAGCTCTGTGAAACTGAACATGCCCACCCTGGGTATATCACCCACCATCCCTCCACCCAGCCATCCACCTTCAACTTCTCCATCTCCACCAATGATATCACCATCACCTGACATGCAGACATTCTTTCTAACGCCTGTCTCCTTTAGCGAGCCTTGCCAACTCACTGTCTCACACTGCTTTCCCTTTCTTTCCACCTCCGGTGAGCACAGCTCAGCTCTGCCCCACAGCAGACCAGAATGACTGCAAATGCTCCGTTCTGTGGCCTGCCTTTCTCCACTCCTAATCCCACCTGCGAAAAGTAGCCAGGATGATCTTCATCAGTGAACCTATAGTAGCCCTTTATGGTTTCCCTGATGAATCCAAACTCTTCTCTGGCTTTCAAACTTGATCTAGTTTTTGCCAACTTTTTGCCAACTTGATCTGCTTGCCTCCAACACCGAACCTCTTCTGCTAAATGGTTTTTCCTTTTCCTGTCCTATTTGGACAAACCATGACAGCAAAACGAGTCAGGCTTTGGTGTCTTCTACTCCCTGGCCCTGCCTTGTAATCTGCGTCTTCCCATATCTGTCATTAAACGCTTTTATGTTTTTCAGAAGCTAGCTGTCATTAAACACTTTTCTAATTACTCTGTTTAGCGTTTCTTCTGCTTTCTCTGGTGATACATGATTTCTTTCAAAATTGGGCCCCAAATTTAAGTCAGACAGCCTGGGTATATGAATCCCAGCTTTGTCACCTATTAGCAATGTTACTTTGGGCAAGTTACAGAACCTTTTTGCACTTCAGTTTCCGCTCTGTAAAATGAGGGTAATAGCTCTCTGTAAAACCTCAAAGGATTGCTCTTATGATCAGATGAGTCAATATACACTAAGGCTCCTGGAACGGTACCTGGTAGGTAGTGGCAAAACCAACTATGATAATGATGAAGTGATTCATGGAACTCTGATACATCATTTCTCAGGGTCCTGTTAATTATGAATTGTCTCTTTCAGTGTTGGTCTTTTTATCTGTTTCCTAGAAGCCATCATAGCTTACAGTATCCATTTTTCATACTTTGGTGTCTCTGATGCTAGTTCCTGCACAGTGTAGGGCACAAAGGGAAAACTTACCAATTCCTAATGAATAAACGGCTGACCTAAATTTTTTCTTTTGATAGTTGGCATTGCAATTTAGTCAAAGTTAACACTAGGAGATAGAAAAGAATACACTCTGAGCTTTTATAGACTACTTACTGTGAATTGTCTTCTATTTTCTGTCTGTAGACAGCTGCCAGGCTTCCAATTTCTAAAGAGTAGCCACCTGATCCTGAAAAGGAAGATGAAGGCTTAACAAATATAGCAAGAGACTTATACATACCAACTATATACTGAGAATTATATAGCTGAGAATTCATTATTCTCAGCTCAGAGATTACTCAAAACTGTTATGGTTTTGCTTCAAAGAGAAATTTTCAGAAGCTAACAGTTCATGGTGAATTCAGGTCTCATCAAGAATTCAAAATAAGCATGGGCAACCCAGGGAGACCCCATCTCTACAAAAAAATAAAAAATTAGCCAGGCATGGTAATGCATGCCTGTGGGCCCAGCTACTTGGGAGGCTGAGGTGGGAGGACTGTTTTGAGTCTGAGAGGTCAAGGCTGCAGTGAGCTGTGATCATGCCACTGTACTCCAGCCTGGGTGACAGGGTGACCTTTCTCTCAAAAAGAAAAAAAAAAAGTATTCAAAACAAGCATTGCTTGGTAAGTCTAACGAGTTTCTGAGATACATCAAACAGGCCAACTGTGCCAAACCAATTGGTCTACAAGGTGACTAGGATCAATTTTAGGCAAGGGGTCATGTTCATAGACTGTGATATCAGCATCTCCTTTGCCTCCAATAATTGCTTCACTTTAGCTAAGTAAAAAGTAGACCACTGGAAAAAACAGGCAGGGCTGAGAGAGTCAGTTTGTTCAGAAACGCCAGCACATGGGTGCTGCACTGGCATGGGCTACAGCTACATGGCAACTGATGGACTCCATCGATTATGCAAGGGCAGATACCTTGTTCTTCTCTGTATGGGCTGCTGGGTTCTGAGTTCACCTTCCTCTGGATCCTCTCAGAAGCCTGAACTGTGTTAAAAGAACCATGGCGAGCCAGCTTCTGTTTTGCACAGACTTGAATCTGGCCATATGTTTCTCTTTTCAATTCTGGTAAGACAGATGCAGAAACATCCACCAGTTCTTCATCTACATAAATGAGAGAATTGGTAGTGTTGTTATACAGCTGTAATTCAGGATAATTTTTGTCTATTTAAGAGATGGCTTTGAACCTATAATTGTAATGGAGCTACTACCCTATAAATCAAAAACTAAGACAATCAAAGGAATTTTATGAGCCTTGTCCTCAAACCCCAATTTCTTTCAATGTACTTTTTTTTTTAAGTTAGTGGATGACTATAAAATGAGATTGAATCCATGTATATTCTAAAATTATCTGAACTGCAACAGAAGTAGAGCAAGATGTTCTTCAACCCGAATTAGAATGAGCCTCACATTTTAGATGCTCTATTTGGGCAGAGAGTATCAAAGGAAAGCCCGACAATGCTCATCCCAAAATGAATATTTTGAGATTCACTTTCAAGATTAACTGAGATCAGCTTCCTATGCCATAGATCTACAGCAATGAATAAGAGAATCTCTATTTTCTGTTATGCTTTATTATTTCTTTCTTATGCAGTAGGAGGCTCAGTTACTACGTGACCAAAGGAATAAGGTCAGCAGAAACTTCGTGGTTGAAATGCTGCAGAACAGTGAGATTACAGAAGGTTAGGTCCTGGAGACACTGTTTGTGTTTAACGGAGTGTATGTGGGGTTAAGATAGAAATTTCTATATAGACTCAGGCAGCTATCCATGTTGTACAGATAGTCATCTCTACGTTATTCATTTGTGCTAATTTTTTTCTAAGCTCAAAGCTTGCACATTTTAGTTAGAGAATTGATTTAATAAACTGAAAGGCTCAGCTAGACTTACATTTTCTAAAACATGCATTTCACATTAATTAAACTTTGAAATGAAAATAACAACAAAAAGTAATCCTTACAGTTTTCTTTTTCTTAGAACAAAAGCCCAATTAGAAAAATAAGAAATTACAAAATCAAAAAGAAAACAGGTCAAGTCAGTAATAGGGGCCACATTTGCCTCCTTCCTGTAACAAAATATTGGACATAATGCATAAAACTGCGGCTTTCAACACATTTGGGCATCAGGACATGTAGGACAGTGATCTCTATGAGACAGGAACCAAATACGGTGAGTTCTATGATGATTTTAGCTTACTGCCTGGAGAATGTTTCTAGGTTGGGATGTAAGGAGAGGGACCTAGACAGAGACTGGAGGTCCCCCTAAGTTGAGGATAGAGCTGGGAGTCCTGGAAAGTCAAGGCAGCTAGGGTTTGCAGGGCAGAATGCTGGAGAGGAGAGCTATACAGAAAGAGAATGCTGGGGATGTCCAAACTCAACTTTCAGTGGAGTACTGATGCATGTGAGAAAGATACCCAAGGCTGGGGAAAGAACCATTCGAAAGTACTAGAGGGAACAATGTCTGCAGCTCAGAGAGGACTGGGAAAAGTGCCTGTTGCCAATAGCTACAGTAGAAAAACCTCCTAATTCAGGAGGCATTGGTTAGAGTACTAAAAAAGGTGTTGCCCTAATAAGGCGGAAAACTTACTAAAGACTAGAAGCTCTTAGAGTTTTACTGAGCCGAACTTAAAAGCAACACCCAAAAGGATCACTGTTTCCATGTAACTTCACCACATCCCAGAACAAAGCTAAGAACATTTTTAGGAATACAGAAATGTCTAGCACCTAATAATGTATAATTATCAGTGTCTGGCACACAACTGAAAATATGACCCACAATGAGGAGAAAAGTCAATTGAAATGGACCCAGAAGTAAAGCAGATGATAGGAAGTAGACCAGCATACTAAAACATATATTAGTATTGCATACCATAAATTCAAGCCACTAGAGGAAAGACTGGATATGTTGTCTTAGAGACATCAAAAATGTAAAAGCTCAAATCAAACTTCTAGAGATAAAAAAATACAATGGTGGGGATGAAAAATACAGTGTATACAATTAATGGCAGATTAGAAAGTGTAGAAATAGAGAAGTTAAAGACATAGCAATAGAAACTGTACAAAAATGAAACACTAGAAAAAAGACAGAAATGAACAAAGAATCAGCAAACCGTGGGACAACTTTAGGTAACCAAAAGCAAGCATAAGTGGAATCTGTAAAAACAGCAGATGAGGGGACAGGAAAAATATTTGATTAAGTAATAGCTGAAAATTAGCCAAATTTGATGAAAACTTTAAACCCAAAGATCCAAGAAACTCAACAAATCTAAGTACAAGAAACATGAAGAAAAGGACACCAAGTCATACATCATCAAATCGCTTAAAACCAGTCATAGACAGAAACTTGAAAGCAACCAGGGAAAAATGACACATTAACATATAAAGAACAGGATGATGGTTGATTTCTTGCCAGCAACTATGCAGGCTAGAAAACAGTGGAGCAACTTCTTTAAAGAACTAAAGGGCTGAGTGTGTGGGCTCACACCTGTAATCCTAGCACTTTGGGTGGCTGAGGTGGGATGATTGCTTGAGCCCAGGAGTTTGAGGTTGCAGTGAGCCATGATCGTGCCATCACGCCACTGCACTCCAGTTTGGGTGACAGAGTGAGACCTTGTCTCTAAAAAAAATAAAATAAAAAAAGAAGGAACTAAAGGAAAAAAAAACTTCAACCTCAAATTCTTTTATTTATTTGATACAGGGGCCTTACTGTATTGTCTAGGCTGGACTTGAACTCCTGGGCTCAAACAATCCTCCCACCTCCTTCCTCCTGAGTAGTGGGGACTACAGGCATGAGCAATGGTGCCTGGCGTCAACCTAGAATTTTTTACCCAGCAAAAACGTTTTTCAAAAGCAAGGGCACAATAAAGACGTTCTCAGACATACAATAGCTAGAAGAATTCATCATTGGCAGACTTGCACTAAAAGAAATGTTAAAGTTCATCAAGCAGGAAAAAAAATGATATTAGATGGAAACCTACATTTACAAAAAAATGACAAGCACTGGAAATGGTAACAACATGGGTTAGGGTTAGGAAATTTTCTTATTAAAATTTCTTTAAAAGGTAATTAACTGTGGACCAGTCGTGGTAGTTCACACCCCTAATCCCAACACTTTGGGAGGCTGAGGTGGGTGGATCACTTGAGCTCAGGAGTTCGAGACCAGCCTGGGCAACATAGTGAAACCCTGTCTCTACCAAAAAAAACAAACAAAAAATCCCCAGTAACACACTATGGGATTTATAACATATATAGCAGTAAAATGTTTGACAGCAATAGCACAAAGGCCAGGCAGGGAGGAATGAAAGCAAGTTATTGTAAGATTCTTGTACAATACATGTAGTGTACTATCACTTGAAAGTAGACTGTGACAAATTAAAAATGTACACTATAAACCTTAAGGCAACCATTAACACAACAAAGAATTATAGCCAAGAAATCAACAAAGGAGATAAAATGGAAGCATAAAAAATACTTAATAAATCCAAAAGAAAGAAAAAGAAGAAAAAGAAACAATAAGCAAATAGGACAAATAGCAAGATGACAGATTAAAATTCAAGATCAAGAATCACATTAAGTGTAAATGGCCTAAATAACACAATTGAAAAGCATAAATTGTCAGATTAGATTAAAAAGAATTCAACTATGTATACTGCCCACCAGACACATTAAATAGAGACAGAAATTATTTAAATAAAAGGATAATATATATTATGCTAACTAATAAAAAGAAAGCTGAAGTGACTATATCACTATGAGACAAAGTAGATTTCAGAGCAAAGAATTATCTCCGGGAATAGAGGGTAATTTTATAATGATAACAGGGTCAGTTCATCAAGAAGACATAGTGATCCTAAATATTTATGCAGACAGAGTTCATGAAAAAGCCTCAAAATCCATTCCACAAAACTTTAAAGAACTGCAAGAGGAAACAGACAATTCTGCAACTATAATCAAAGATTTCAATATCCATCTATCAATAATGGCTAGAAAAAGTAAACATAAAATCAGTAAGAATATAAAAGAACTGGACATTTATAGAACATTCTGCCAAACAACAACAGAATATATACTCTGTATATTTACCAAGATGGACTGTGTCTGTACCACAAAACAAGTCTCAATAAATTTAAAAGATTCAAGTTATACAAAGTATATTCTCTGGTTACATGAAATGAAATTAGAAATCCGTAAGAGAAAGACGTTTGGAAAATCCCAGAATATTTAGAAACTATATGACACGTGTCTGAATAATTTGTGGGCCAAAGAAGACATCAAAAGGGAAAACAGAAAGTATTTTGAATTGGAAGACAATGAAAACACACATATCGACATGTTAGATACAGCTAAAGCAGTACTGAGAGGAAAATTTATAGTACTAAATGCTTATTGGAAGAGAAGAAAGGTCTCAAATTAATTATTTCAGCTTCTACCTTAATAAACTACAATAAGAATAAATTGAACTCAAAGGAGCTATAAAGAGATAATCTGAATAGCTCTATAGCTATTCAAAAAATGTAATCTGTAGTTAAAAACCTTCTCACATAGAAAGTTTTTAACTACAGATAAAAACCAGACCCAAATGGCTTCACTGAAAAATTCTTTATTTATCAATTCTTCACTGATAAATTCTTCCAAACATTTAAGGAAAAAATAATAACAATTCTACACAAACTCTTCCAGAAAACTGAAGAGGAGTGACTGGATATCAATATGTAACCTCTCATCCTCTCAGAAAAGTACCCCATTGATCCATAACTCACACCACATGTGTGATCTCGTGTTAGGCAAAGATTTCTTACCTAAAACTGAAAACATGACCCACTAAAGAAAAACATTAATAAAAATTAATATATTAGTGGAATTCCTGAAGATTAAGATCTTCTGACTTTCAAAAGACACTGGTAAGAAATGAAAAGACAAAGCCACAGATGGAGGGGAAATATTTGGAAATCATATACCTGATAAAAGACTTGTATGCAGAATATATATACAACTCTCACAATTCAGTAATAAGAAAGCAGACAACCCAATAGCAACAAATGGGCAAAAGATCTGAGCACACCCTTCACTAAGGAAGATAAACAGATGGCAAAACAGATGTTTAACATCATTAATCACTAGAGAAATGCAAATTAAAACCAAAATGAGATACCACTACACACCTATCAGGATGGCTAAAATTAAAAAGACTGACCATATCAAGTTTTGGCAAGATATGGTTGAACTAGAACTCTCATATACTGTTGGTAGTAAAATGTTACAACTGCTTTGGAAAACAGTTTGGAAGTTACTCAAAAATTTCAAACATCCACTTACCATACGTTGCAGCCTTTCCATTCCTAGGTATTTACGCAAGAGAAATGAAAACATATGCCCATACAAAGACATGTACATAAATAATCACAGGAGCTTTATATATAATAGCCTCTTCAGCAATAAAAATAAATTACTGATACATGCTACAATATGTATAAATCTCAAAATAATTCTGCTGAGTGAAAGCAGCCTGATCAAAAGAGTATAGTTATAGTTGATTCTCATTATTCACAGTAGTTATGTTCTATAAAGTCACTGCAAACACCGAATTAGCAAATACTGACCCATTGCTTCTAGGGGACATAAAGGGTTAGGTTCCTGTGAGCCTCTGGTTACATTTTCATTAGCTGATCAATATATGACCTTGTTTATGTGTGTTTCTTTTTAAAGAAATCTGTTTAATATTTGTTGATTTATTAACATTGAACTTGGCCAATAGTACTATACTCATACCTGATCAAAGCGCATCTAACACATGTATATTCTCCGTAAGGCACAATGCAGCTTTCTTGTGTTAAGAAACACTAGACAGCAATACTTGGGAGCCAAAAAGCACAAAAATGTGAAAAAGTGGCACTAAAAAGACTGCAAACAGAATGCTGGCTTATGGTATGAGAGCTGGAACAAGAAGGCAGAGTACTGCCTGATTCATCTGGGAACATGTGCATTGGGAGACCCAAATTCTTTACCAAGCTGTGCATGACCACAACTGACTGTGGAAACACCCTGAGTACTGACTTTGGAGTTACAAGTTAATTTTAGTAAGTAGACAGATTCGCGAATATGAAAACTGTGAATAATGAAGATTGGCTATACATGATTCACTTACAACAAAATTATAGAAAATACAAACAAATCCAAAGTGACAGAAAGCAGGTCAGTGGTTACCTGGGGATGGGAGTGGGGACCAGGAGGGAGGAATTACAAAGGGGGCAGGAGGAGGCTTTTGAAGGTAATGGATATGTTCATTATCTTGATGATTTCACAGGTACATACATATGAAAAACTTATCAAATTGTAACTTTAACTTCCTGCCATTTATTACATATCAATGATATCTCGATAAAGCTGTTAAAAAGAAAACACCATTCATAATACACTGTGCCATGCTGGTAGGAAAGAGGAGGAAGACATTTATAAAATTTGTGAGAAATGGCTAGCCAAGGGATGAAGGAGAATGGCTCAAGGAATCAAAGGAAACTTGATGTGTTCAGTAATGAAACTAGGGAATATAGAAAGAGCAGGTTTCTGGAGGGCAGAGGAAATACGTTCAATTTGATTTTCCTGACCTGCCTCCAAAGTCTTTCTCTCATGTCAAATCAGAGAGTTCTCCCCGTTCTGTCCCGTGGTGCAAATACATGAACTTCTCGACTTCTCAACAGCTGCTCATCTTCCAGCTATTTTACTTTCTTTTTCTTTCTTTTTTTTTTTTTTTTGAGATGGAGTTTCGCTCTTGTTGCCCAGGCTGGAGTGCAATGGCGCGATCTCAGCTCACTGCAACCTCCGCCTCCCGGGTTCAAGCAATTCTCCTGTCTCAGCCTCCTAAGTAGCTGGGATTACAGGTGCATGCCACCATGCCTGGCTAATTTTTGTATTTTTACTAGGGACGGGGTTTCATCATATTGGTCAGGCTCATCTCGAACTCCTGACCTCAGGTGATCCACCCGCCTTGGCCTCCTGAAGTGCTGGGATTACAGGTGTGAGCCACTGTGCCCAGCCCAGCTATCTAATTTTCCTCAATGGTACGACCACCTTTGAGTCCTTCCTCTCTTTTAATCATTGTCCAAAGACTCTTGGTTAATTCTGTCTATCACATCTAGTCCAAATTTCTTGCCTTAATTTTTGAGGCCTTCCAAAAATGCAGTCCCCAGTGATCACACTGTAACACTGTATCTCATTATTTTTTATCCCATGTTCTCTTCATCCTTCCAAAACCTAACAGTCCATCAGAACTTAATCTGTATCCTCTCTGAATGCCTATAGAGCCAGTACCACCCCATCTAGAGTGTAATTGCTCTCCTAACTTTCAAATGTGTGCTAACTATATGCCTAATTACAGAAGCTCATTAACCAAGTAAAGTGAGTAAGGCACTGTTCTGGATACTATGGGGTAATCAAGGATGAATAAAGATGATGTCTGGTCTCAAATGTGTAGGGCAGGGACGACACCATCCTATCAACCTCATCCAGCACAAACCGCACAATACTCAATTGCAGTCATTCAGATGAGACACTCTGCTCTGGGCTATCAGGGAAAACTTCATAGAGGAGTTGACATTTGAGCCAGATCTTGAAGGTTGAGAATATTTTCATGTTAAAAAGAAGAGGGCTTCACAGGTGAAAAGAACGGGAGAAACCAGAGGCAGAAAGGAGAAAATGGCAAAGTTGTATGCTTCATGCAGGTAGGGACTGTGTCACCCACATCTTCAATCTCTCAGGGCCCTTAGTATAGTCACCGGCACACAGTCCACACTCAGTGTGTATGCACTGGGTTGAATTTGTTATACTTGATTTTAAGTGGTTTCATCTAGATCCTAAGTGAATAATGTGCTACAAGTGAGGTGGCGAGCTATATAGTTATAAGCCTGGGTTAAGTGGCTCACATTTATACCACTAACACCAAAATTGGAAGGGTAATTTAAAAATGACTTTAATGGCTTCTTCCCAGGCAGTACAGCTGTATGTAAAATAGCTGGTGCAGTTGGATCTAGTCCCTGATTGCTCATATATTACCCATGAAATAAGTAGAAGATAATATCCTCTTTGACTCCTGTTTTGTAAAATTATATTTATAACCTTTTAAATTAAAAAAGTCCATTACATTCATACTATATTTAGATGCAATCTTACCACCTATTAGTTTTGTGATAGTAATTGATGTGATTTTTACTCATAATTTTTACATTATGTAGAATTTCAAAGAGAAACCACATTTTATTCTGCTAATGTAGCAACAACTGAAGTTCAAAAGAGGTGTCATTTTAAATTCTCAGTCCCAAACTTTCAGGAAAAAGCTTCAGAACAAAATTTAAACAGTTAAAGAGCTGTAAATTAGTAGTTAGAGAAACTCCCATGTTATAAACGCCCAGTATTTCTTTTCCTACCATGTGTGGGCAAACCAGCACGCACAATTTGTAGGCTAATGTTAACCGTTCCAAGAGTGGAGTCACTAATCTGATTTGTATGTGACATGGGAAAAGATCAGTCTCACTGTGTAGTAGATGTGAGACCTGAAAAAGGAACTGAGAATTGGAAATAAAACATCCTGCTAGCAAAACCACGCCACCTTACCATTTGAGCTGAAGTCCACAGGCCCGATCCACTTGAAGGCTGGTTTACGGCCTCGCTCTTCTGTTACGTGCACTTTCTTTATCAGAGCCAAGCTGGTCAGAACATTGGCTATGTCATAGAGGCGTCGTACCTTTGCTTGAAGATATAAAACACGATTATGATCATGCTGCCTGTGACACCATAACAGTTTAGTTTATGTGACAGGTAACTTTTCTCGGCTGCCATATAAACCTCAGGTGGAAAGCAGCAAGCTGGGATGAGGAGACCAGTGGCTCTGTCATAAAATCACCCAGGATTTATGTACCTGCAGTATCTGAAGGCTAAGGGAAGGTCAGTGTGTCCTTACATTTCCACAACTTCACACCTCTTACAAGAGGCACCTGGCGACACACAGGGAGCACTGTGATTGCAAAAACAGCAAGGGAGGGAATGGGCTGTAATTAAAGGCTTAGTAAATGTAATTCTGACATGGCACGTCAAAAGCATGCCCTGAGTTTCTCCCAGCAGGAGACTGTGGTGCCAGCTCCACCAGGCAGCTGATCTGTGAAAATGACAAAGATTCCCCAGAGCTTCCTGCCAGGTTGCACTCCCGGGCACACAGGATGCTCAAGGTCAACAGTACAACTGTGCTAAAGACAGGCAGCTCCTCACCTGAAATCGTAGCATTCCAGCCACCCGGTGAGAAGCGGTTGGATGGGCCTCACCTGAATCTTAAGTGGCTTTGGGAGAAACACTTAAATATGTACAAAGTAGAGGAAATACTCAGAAGGGGTGGTAGCACATGAAACAGGCAGGATAATGACCACAGAGTATTTTCTATTCAAGAAATGGATTTACAGGTAGGAAACCCACTTGACGTCGGTGTTAAGATCAAGCAAAGAAGTTTGAATTATCATCTAGAAATGGTAAGCATTCATCCCAGATGCAGCTTTCTTCTTCCCAATCCTGATTTTATCTAGCCATTTCACCCACAGGGTGACTGTAATTTCAGCTGGAAACAAAAAATAGCTAGAGAGTGTTGCAGCTCATGGTTTCCCGGGGCTTACAGGCTACCAGCAGCCCAGGGCATTTGGCTCAGTATCCAAGCTGGACAGAAAAGGAGGATGCACTGGGTGTGATGCTTGGAAACTCTCTCCCTGTCCATGTCCCACCACCCTTACCCTGGGCATTCTTCTGGTTCTTACCTGTAGACAATTTTCATCTCCACCCTTCAGAAGAGTATGCAGGGGGTGGGGAAAAAAGGGGAAAGAAAACTCAGACATTCTGTCTTGGATGCAGCATTACTAAAGAGAAATGCAAAATAATTCACACCCTCCCTAACCGGAGTTCTCAGGATAGTGTTCTGTTTTTTCACTCTACTGAAACCATCAAGAAAAAGGCACTGACAGGACTTTAAGCTGAAATCTAGTAGATGACTAACTTACCTCTCACAGCACCAAAAACCTTGATGAATGCAGGAAAGGAGTACGTATGTCAAAAACAATATATATATTTTTAATCTTGGAAGGAGAAAATATCAACACATGAAATCCCACCCTTTTTGTACTAGTAAGTTGATGTAGGTGAAGATTCTTACTTTTAAATTTACTATGGTCCGGGGCATCTTGGCTTTCTTCTATCAGTATTTTGGCAGCCACATCCAGAGTGACAATCTTGGTTTTGGAAACGAGGAACAGCATGACAAACTTCTGGCTCATAATTCTCAGAGACTTGTCTTTTCTACTGTTTGCAGATGCTACACAAGGAATGAAACAAAAGCATCAAAGCACACGATTTTCTACAAGAAAGACTATACTTGCAGCTTCCCAAAATGATCTAGCCCTATCAGCAGATGGAAAGATCACCTTTGTCACAAGCAGAAGCTTACTGGACACACATTGCAGAAGTCAGCTCAGGAAGAAATGAGGCCGATTTTCTTGTGGCTCGTAAAATTACTCTACAGTAGGCATAAACTCTGAGATGCATATTTTAAACCACTCAATGCTTTATACTTATACTTCCTACAATAGAATCCATACGGTAGTTTTACCGAGGCAACTTCTTGGAAAGATTAACGTAGAATGATAAAAAGATAGGGTAGGAATATAGAATTGTTTTCAGAACATCAAGTCTCCTCTCAAAGGCAAATTGCTACTCCATTTTTATTTCTCTGTGCCTGCAATATCTAGACTATACCCTAAACATAGTAGATGCCCGCCTCTTCCACTTCTTTTCAGAAATATGTGAATAAATGAACTATATATAAACAGAAGACAGATTAGATATGTGCTCCTGTGGATGGCAGGCAAACCATCCCCGACAGATGGCTGTCTTCTCTGGTTATTAAGATAAGTACTGGCTCATGGGGTGGAACTAAAAGGCATGAGGCAGTGAATCTAATGAAAACCAGGCCCACCTTTCTTTCCATTTCTTATATTTGCAAGTGAGACGTGATACTTGTACTTTGTCATCTTAACAACAGGGATGAAGATCAATGGCTAAACCAGGAATAGGCTAAATATGAATTGGGAAGGAAGAATGCCACCGATGTAAATAAAAATTCTGCACCAAATGAAAGCAGACGTTTTTCTTATCAATATTTTCTGCGAATGGAGTTCTTTTCTAAGTAGTCTAAGTCTACTTCAGTATATAATTAGATAAAATTTTTTGAAAATATAACTTTTTCAAAGTAAATCTTACAGTTGCACAAAAAGAAGCAGCATGGGGCTGCCAGTCTAAAAATGGGAGTACTGCTAGCGATCTATTCTCCCAACAGGCCAAACTCGAGTGAACTGCCATCGGCCAGGTTTGTTTAAATGAGGTCGAGTGGACAGTCCAGTTGGGGAGTCATCTGCTTTCCTTTCTTCAGTGAAGAGAATAAGAGGACATCTCCCTCCAGGTTTGTCAACCTGGCACTTCCCATCTGAGCAGTGAATCTCTGCAGAAAAGACCATCACTCGCTCTTTCTCTGCCATTACTCATGAAGCTACAATGGACTCACAAGAGGGATAGTCGGGTTCAGAGAAATCCAATAACTGTTGTTCCTGGGAATCTGGATCGCCATCTTTTCTACGTTCTCCAAATTTATAATCCATCAGGTCCAGCTCTTTCTGTTGGAGGTAGGCCATCTGCTCTTCATATTTCTGCTCCTCTCCTAGTCTCTGGAGGTTCCTCAGGGTTTTTGGCAGGCTGTGCCGTCCATGCCAGCCATACTGATTCTTAGCCACCCGGCTGACCAGATGCAGCGATTCCAGCACATTTACAATGTCATAGATGCGTCTCCTTTCCACACCTGTTTAAAAACAGAGGCCGATGGACATCATGCAGACAAACATTTTTGAAGAGAAGTTTCTTGAGGGCCTGGACTATGTCTGTGAACTACTTTGTCTGATCCCCAATATAATGCCCACTGCGTGGATGCTCAAGAAATTCAACCTGTAAGGATGTAACCAATAGAAATTATTTTTCTTTTTCCTTCTTGAGATCCAACCCTTAAACAGATCTAAGATAAAACATCTATCTAGAGATGGTGACATTTCCATCCGTCTGACATAAACAGTACAGCAACTGCTCTTTAGACCTGTCAGGCAAACCACACAAACATTTCAGTATGCTGAAATTGGTGGTCTGAGCAATACACATAACAGTGTGCCTAATGGACACTTGATGAATGGATGGTTGACTGTGACTTGTACTCCTAATTATGCAGACTGTAAAATCAACTGTGTCCAATAACTGACACTTCCCTATTAGACAATACTGTCTATCCTTTCATGAAGTTCCAATGATATAAAAATATTACCTTGATAATGCTCTCAATGGACCAGTAAGGAAAATGGATGCAAATGTTATATTTTCTATTTTGAACTGGAAATGCAGGTGTCAAGGGCTTGAATACCCTTCTCATATTGCTGAAGGAAGCCAGAGCTGGGGTTGGAACAACATGGGAGTCTCCTTTTGTTCATCATGGCTATTGACAATTCTCTGTGTTCTCATTCACCATAACCTGGCAAACAGCCCAAAAGTGAAGCACAGAGACTCCAGTACAAGCTGACCACGAGGCTCGGCAGCTCGCTACTCACTTTCCCAACACTCCCAAGGCAGCTAGGATTAGAAGCTGTCCATTAAACCTAGCAAAAATACTTATAGTGGTTAAGGTGGGGGGCTCTGGGGTCAGACTGCCTACATTTGAATCCCTGATAAATCCCTTAGTAGCTGAGTGATCCTGGGAGGTGACTTAACCTTTTTGTGTTTTTGTATTTATCTTATATAATAATGAGGATGAAATCTAACTGTAACTGTAGAGTCCCCAGTAGGTGTTAATTTTAAATAAATACTTTTGGCATGACATTGGTTATACCTAACATCCCTGCTAGCATGAGAGGTCATAGTAGAAACAGATTTTTTAAATCTCATGTCTGTGATTCATTCTGTTATCTAACAGGCCCTTGGGCCTATAGCAAAAGCCTGCAGGCATCTTGCAGAAAACCAGCCCAGCTACAAAGATGCCTTCTTTCATTTGCCAGGAGCTGTTATATAATCAGGGCAGACTCTGAATGTAGCTGTTGGCCCTTCAAAAATTTAACATGAGAAATATACCAAATTACAATGAGAACTCCAGAGCTGAGAGGAAGTTCTATCACATGCATGAAGAAGCATTTCACAGTCAATCAGAACATTTCAGCTCATGACCCTGAAAGGCTTGTTACCCTCACAAGCTCAGGCTTCGGTGCCAGATGCCTGCCGGAAGGTGCTGGCAGGAGCCCCTTGTCCAGAACTGCCTGCTTCTTTATTCCAGTCTGTTTTCATGTATTAACACATCTTGTTTACAGCATGACATTCTATAAACCTTCCCATTATAAATGTCATGTAACCGCAACTGACACCCCAGGGCCAGCCATATGCCTGGCTGTTTTGTTAGTTGATATCTGACGACAAGCTGTTAAGTCTCCATCTAGTGGCTAGACATCCCAAGAAGGGAAAATAAAAGAAGTTTCTGACCACCCGGATGATTCTCAGGATGCATAGTGGCTGCTTAGTAGGTGCTTTTGGTGAAAACCAACATGACAGCTGCCTGTCTGCACAATCCCTTACCTCTTTCATCTGAACTGAGCTTAACCATCCACTGGCTGGTGCACTAAAAAGTTCCATTTCACAGGTCTCAAGACCCGTAGATTACTTTGGGGGCTTGCTCTGTCAGAACGGTTTTCCCTGCATTCAGTCTTCTTTTTCTTTTGTATTGAAGTCATTCTATTAACCCCAATCATGGCATTAGTTATATGGTCAAGGATTTACTAATTTTTGCTATGCTTCCCTTAGTTGCTGGTGGGACTTACTAAGAATTCTCAGTCCAGAAAAATAGTTTCCTAGGCTGTGCTATTAAGTCACTCCCAGTTCTCTAAACTGTTACCCATGATATCCAATGTCAAATCTACATAGCACTGGAATCTGGAAAACAATGCAATTTGAATGCTCTGCACATCCTCAGTAAAATACAGTCTTGCAGTCCGTAACCTGGGATGTAGCACAGAGTTCAGACTCAACCCCAAAAGATAGTCGGCAGTGAAACAGCTTCCAGCAAGGGACCCCATTTTATGATGTCACATGAAAAGATGGCATGCTTGTTTAGCAGCTCTGGGTGATCAGAAGGCACTGGGAAGCTGTTGTAAAAATCTCTAGAGTTCTGCTCCAGGCAGCCATAACATGGGGTGTGCACAACCATCTGCAGTCATACGAAAGTAGGAGTCCACGTTTCTGTCCTCTCTGGGATGCAACACAGCCCTCAAACATCTAATCCTTTGTCTTCTGCAGGGACACCAGTGCAAGACTCCTTAATGGAAGTTGGGTACATGAAGGAAGCAGGCTTCATGAACCCCAATGAGAAGGGTATCAGACAATCTGTCATTTTACCTTCATTACTGTAAGACTAGTTTCTAGGACCCTGGACCCAAAAGCCCTCAACTGGCTCTTCACCATGCCTACTGGAAGATGCTGGCAGGAGCAGTCAATAGTCCCTTTCCCAAAACTGCCTGCTTCTTTATTCCAGTCTGTTTTCATATGTTAACACATCTTGTTGAGAGAGTATAACATTCCATACACCCTCCCATTAGGAATGCCATGTGAATGCAACTGATATACCCCACGGCCAGCAAGGGACCCCATTTTTTGATGCTCAGTTGGCTCACTTTCCCTTTTTTGATTAATTGCCCCCAATCCTAGAATACTATATTACACTTCTGGGCTCCAAATCGGCCCCCAAACCATAGCACTCTACTTCCTCTTCCTATAGAGATGGACAAGGCAGCTAAGGTATCGACATTCTAGTAAGAGCTGAGTAGAAACTGTTCCACATAATAAGAGCTCTCCATGCCAGCCATTGACTTTGGCATGTTACTGACATCCCTAACTTTGCTATGTCTCTGCAAGGTAGGTGCTGCGGGCTCTAAGTTATAGACCAAACAAACAAACAAACAAACAAACAAACAAAAAAAAAACCTTAATTCACTTTTTAAAGCTCTTACAGCCTGTAAATTAGAAAGCTGGGCTTCAAATCTAGCACTATGTGACCCAAAGCCCAGCCCATGGTCTTCTTATCATAACCCACTATCTCTTCTTCTCAGTTTCCAAAAACCAAAATCTATTTAGCTTTCAGCTTGAATAATTCAAGTTGATGTTCCTCTACTTGGGCACATTTCTCTAGGATATGGAGGAAATAGAACTAAGAAACAAACTAAAAATTATAATCTATCATTTATTTAGCTGATTTCTTCAGAACTTTTTCTCTTTTTGTGTGTATGTAAAACCTTCCTGTTTTTAAGGGGACACCCTGACACCTTCAAGTCACTGTGATTTCTGCTTACCTAACGATTGTCAACAATACGTTCATTCTGGAACTAACTGCAATGTCCACTAGGGGTCTCTATTTTGAAGCAGGTGTATATATATTTCCAGCACATACACCCATCTCACATCATACACTCACGCACGTGAACACACAGATTCTTCTTTGTTATAAGATTTAGTTGTTTGAGTTATGTCCAAATGACCTTTTTCTAGTTTGACCCACTTGCTGTGCCAATCATCGTATAGGGCTTTAAACATAATGCTCTTGCTCTCAAATCTTGCTTTACAAAGTTGAAATCACACCAGTTCTGAACTCCTGGAAGCATTATTAAAAATAAAAAGCAGGCTATTTCTAAATAGTTTTGCATCTGTCTGAAGTAGGATGAATTTAAAATATGAGATACTAATTTGTAATGAAACTCTATTATAAAAATATTACTCATTATAAAAATATATTTTAAGGTTAAAAGAGACTGCATTCTCATTTGGTCCTGGAGGCTCCCTGAAATTCTGTGTATAATGAAAACAAATTTGACAATGACAAAGGAAGCTCTGCCTATTCCTCTGTCTTCACCCAATTGAGGGACCCACACTACCTCAACCTTCAGCCTGCCCAAGGAAACCAGTTTCCCACTGTAACTGGAGACAGGCCTCCAGGTAATCTGATGATACATACCAAGACTGACAGCAACTTCATCTAGGGAGATGGTAGTTTTCTCAGTTGACAAGGGATAACTTGGATAGCGAGCTAGAAACTTCTGGCACAGGAGTCCTAAACTTTTCTGTTTTCTGCTTGGCCTTTGCTTTTCAAATTCGTCCACAGCACTGTCCCCAACAACATCAAGCTACAGAGGGCAGATAGAAGGGAGGGGGAAGATGTCACAGTTAACATCCTAATGGAGAAACGGCAATGGCCAGTACTGGCAAACTGGGGGGGCATCTCAATCCACACCATCCTAGATTCTGGTTAAAATACATTTCCTAATCTAATTCCCTGAATATTTTATCTGTTGTCTTCTTTGGACTGATTTTTTTTTTTCTCCTTTATAATTTGAGGCTGAGTCTATTAGTGAAAAGTTTGACAAATGAAAAATGCGAGTCATTTACAGGTTGCTACGGTCTAGTTACTAGTGCACTTGCTGGGCCTGTGGAATCAGCATCACCAAGAGCTTATGAGATGTAGAAGCTCAGGCATCAGCTATATCAGAATCTGCCTTTTCATAAGATTCTAGGTGATTTTTATTGACGTGGAAGTTTCAGATGCACTGGTCTGCATTCTGTCACCAAACTGCTTTAGATTTTACAATTGACCAAAGGTTGATGAAAGTGAATGAAGGCAGTCCAGTCATATTCTTCCTTATCCTTTTATTTGTAAATACATTAAACTATCATCCTGTCTCCTCAACCCACATTTGAAAGGGGCTCCATTCAAGCCCCAAGAAAGTAAAAGGCTTTTCGACAAACAGATTCAAGAGAAAAGTGATATAATCAATTCTATAGATTCAGAAAAAACATCTGATAAATTTAACAGTCATTCATGATTTTCAAAAACACCTTTAAAAAACTAGGAATAACACACCGGGGCCTGTCGTGGGGTGGGGGGAGGGGGGAGGGATAGCATTAGGAGATACACCTAATGTAAATGACAAGTTAATGGGTGCAGCACACTAACATGGCACACGTAAAGATATGTAACAAACCTGCACGCTGTGCACATGTACCCTAGAACTTAAAGTACAATAATAATAATAATAAAAACTAGGAATAACAGAGAACTTCTTCAATGAAGGGTATTCATGAAAACATCTATTTGTAAAACCTTGGACATGTTCCCTTAAAGTCAGGAAACAATACGGATGCCCATTATCACTTTCTCTTCTATATCATACTGAAGACCCTAGTCAATGCATGAGGACAAGAAAAAGAAACTGAGGCACAGGGACTGGAAAGGAATCAGCTACTTTCCTTCTGCAGAATATGCCACTATTCACACAAAAACTCAAAAGAATTTCAGACAAATCATTAAAAATAGTAAGAGAATTTAGCAGGGTAGTTGAATACAAGATACTATGTTTTTAAAAATCAGCTGCATTCCTATACAACAGTAACAGCAAATACATTGAAAAGACATCATTTACGATAGCAACAAAAATGATAAGGATTTTAGAAATAAATCTAACAAAAATCTATTTGTATAAAATCCTAAAACTTAGATTTTAAAGAATACTTAAAATTTAGTGAAATACATTGTCTTCATAGATAAGAAAACTCAGTATCTTAAGGAGGTTAATTCTTAATCTCTAGATTAAATCCAATCTCAATAAAATCCAATCTGAAATACACATGGAAGAACAGCCCAGAGTAGCCCACAGACTCTGAAGAAAAATAAGCTGAGGGTCCTGTTTTACCTGATTATCAGTGCTTATTACAATAGGGTATTAGGGCAGGGATGGACAATGGAACAGGAAGAGTCCAGAAAGAGACACACATGTAAATGGAATTTTGATATGAAAGCAGTTGCACTGCGAGCTGAGGGGAAGAGAAAGATCTCCTGAATAAATGGTGCAGGGACAACTGATGATATGTGTAGAAAAACAAAGTTGTATTCTTGACTCACACCATACACAAAAAGCAATTCCAAATGGATCAAGGATTTCAACATGTAAAGCAAATTTTAAATGAAGAAAATGAAGGAGAATATTTTTCTAACCTTGGAATAGGGAAGAGCTTCTTCAGACACAAAAAACATTACCCTTAAAAGGAAAAAATGAACTATATTAAACTTAAGAACTTTTGTCCATCAAGAAATAACATAAAGGGAAAAGACAATTACTGAACTGAAAGAACAGATACATAACACATATAATATAGGTTTAGTATCATTATATAATCAACTCCTACAAATCCATACAACAACCACCAAAAAAAAAAAAAAAAACAAAATTGGCCAAGAACACAAACAGGCATTTCACAGAGGAGCAAAAAACATGATGGCCAGTAAACATGTGGAAAGAAGCTTAATCTCATGAGTAATCAAAGAAAAGCCAATGAATATCACAAAAAGATATACATTGTATAATCATGAGATTAGCATAAATTACTAAATTAGACAATTTCAAGTGTCAGAGAGGATATGGATGACTAAAACTTTATTTATTTCCGGGGGGAGGCAAATAGTACTTTGGGAAGCAATTTGGCATTATCTTGTGAGCATCTGCATATCTAATGACCTAGCACCTCCACCAGTAGGTATGTACCCAAAACAGTAGTTCTCAAACATTTTGCTCACAGGACCCCTTTATGTTCTTAAAAATTACTGAGGACTCCACAGGGCTTTTTGTTTATGTGGGTTATCTATTGATAGTTACCATGTTAGAAATTAAAACATGAGAAAGGGGTATTTTAAGTATTATTTTTCAAATCTCTTTAGTTTCTGGATTAATAGAAGAGAACTGATTCTTGTGTTTGCCTTTTGTAGTCAGTCTGTTGCAATATCCACATCATGTACTTCCTGGAAGACTCCAGTGTATACTTGGGAGAGAATGAGAGTTCAAATGGCAAAGGTCTTTGTATAATTACGAAAAGAGTTTTGACTTCCTCACTCTCTGAAAACTGTCTGTGGACACAGAGGTCCCCAGATGACCCTTTGAGAACCACTATCCAAGGGAAACTGTTGTGTATGTACACCAGGAGACATAAACAAGAACGAATATCATAGCATAGTCTGTATTAGCCCTAAACTGCAAATAGCTACAAACAGGAGAATGAATAAATTGTGGTGTAGTCATGCAGTGGATTATCACACAGCAATGAAAGAACTACAGCTACATGCAAAAACTTAAGGATGTATGTTAATTGATAAAAGCAAGTCCCCTAAGACTATACATACAAATTCAGAAAAGTGGTTATTCTGTTGGGGAGAGAGATGTAAATTAATTACATTGTACCCATTTTTGGGCTGAGAGGTAGATTCATGGTGTTAAAGGTACTGCAAAGGATAAGTGTATTTTAGATGATCAAATAGTCCATCAAAAGGTAATAAAGACTAGTTTAAAAAAGATATTAAAAGTCTGTTTTAACATTGAGTACCCCGAGACAGAAAGAAGGGAACAATAGACACCAGGGCCTATTTGAGGGTAGAAGGTGAGAGGAGGGTGAGGATTGAAAAACTACCTATTGGATATTATGATGATTACCTGGGTAACCAAATTATCTGTACACCAAACACTCGCAAAGTGCAATTTACCCATGTAACAAACCTGCACATGTACCCAATGAACTTAAAATAAAAGTTAGAAAAAGGAAAAAAAAAAAAAAAACTACTTAAAACACTTGACTTTGATCTAATAAATCAGACATTAAAAGCATCAGCATAATAAGTTTTCTGGATACAAGATCAATACACATACACACACACAAATCAATTGTATTTGTATATACTAGAAACAAACTATTGGTAATTGAAACTAAAAAAAAAAAAAAAATACAATTTGCAATGGCATCAAAAAATTTGGAAACCTAGAGAGAAACCTGACAAAAGATGTAAACACCTCTATACCAAAAATTGTAAAACACTGCTGAGATATTAAAGCCCTAAATTTTAAAAGAAAGTCAGTTTTAAATCCGCCAAAATTTTAGGCATTTACTTCCTACAGGTGGTGAACATTTCTAGTGACTGATCAGCTAAAATCTCTCTATAAAGCCTGGGTAGAAACCAAAATTTTAATTGTTTTAGGGGCGTGTTTGGTAGAACAACTAGTTCTGCCAAAGTAAGAGATCAACAATGTTACCTTGTGAAAGAGGTCACTAACAATTCCCACTGGCTGATTTTCACTTTGCTATATTTTTGTCAAAAAAATTACAAAAAAATCTAATACTTATATGCCTTTGACAACAAAAGGCATATTTAATCATATTTAGTTTTTAGAACCCTAATAAAACCAGGACAGGTACCACGACCCTCATTTTACAGGCGAGTAAACTGAGATGCAGAGATCCTGAGTGACATCCCCCACTCACCCAGCTAGTGATTTGAACCCAAGGCCTTAGAAACCAGCTCCTTGTGTGTTGCACATCAAATATTAAACAGGAAGCCAAAGAACAGCCCAGACTTAAAAAAAGGAATTGTGAAATTCCTCTGGCTTCAAGCACATAGGAACTACTGTGTGATTTGTATTTAGTTATGTGAAAGAATCTCTTACTACTAGCACTAATCTACCACTGCAATATGTATAACAGATTAAATTCATTTTGTTCTATGAATTTCAAGTTGTAATTCAAGACATCTTTTTTCTCTCTTCCCAATTACTTCATTTTGGCAATTTTTATAGCTTGAAAAATCCGCCAAAAAGAGAAAAATGGCTAAGAATACTGAAATCTGCAGAACTTTTCTTAGAAAGTCTAGGAAAAAGCTTGATGGGAAGTGAAAATAATTGACTTATTTTTTTTTAAAACAAAGTATAAACATGCTGCTTATTCAACAGCATTGGTTCCCCACAGAACAGGTGATTTAAAGATGGTTTAACGTCAATAGAGCCCCAAACGAACAAACTGAACATATATAATAATGGAATTTCCTAAATAAAAACTGTTTACATTAGTATTATCCCTAAAATCTGGGCAAAATTAAAATTCACAGCAGCATTTAAATAATCTAAATTCCTTCATTAAATAAAAATGATTAAATATCATTTATCATTTTAAAATGAGCCCTGGTCCAGGGACTATCATACAGAAAAGAAAGCATTCATTATGAAAAATAAGATAGAATGAGAATTCTGCTATAAATCAAAAGATATTCAGTTTGCCACTGCTTTTGGCTTAATAGGAGCTGAAAAGTTGAGAGTTCTATGACTTTTTAATAATCAAGTAAAATTGTTTAAGTTCTATAAAATTCCTGAGAAGCACAGTCTGTTTACCTGTAGAGAATCTGTAAATGCATCATCCTTGTTTTCAATGGGTCGGAATAGTCCCTTTTTCTTCTCCCGGTCCCTTATATCTGGGCTGGCAGCACTAATGAGCATCTTCAGGTTAGCTGTGGGTGTCCATGGTTCCACTTGCTGTCTGTCAACAAGCTTCACTGGAGTAATGGGATTTCTTTCTGGAGTAAACTTTTTTTGCTTTGATAAATCAATTGGTTCATTTTTTATTGGAGTCTTCGGGGCCATCCTTGAGCGATCAACAAATATATTTTCCTATTTTAAAAAAGAGACTTTTAGCAAGAATGAGAAAGGGCAGGTATTAGCTAAGAGTACACTTTGTTCCCACCATTCACTAAGACTTGAAAATACAAATAGGACCTTATGTTTAGGGCTGAAAAGTATCAGGATAGGACTAACAAAAAGTAGAAGGCGTCATAGGAATCGAAGAGTGGCTCCAGTGAGAAGTAGATTATAATCTGCTACTCCTTTTACACCTATCTTTCATGGTATCTCTGTAAGAGAAATCACAACGTATCTGTTACTGTTGCATGTTTGTAACAGATGAGGACTATGAGGGCGAATGCCGGTTGAGTCCATATTGTTTCTAAGTGTCATCTTTTTTCAAACACTACTTACAAGTTTGCATTGACTAGGGAAGAGCAACAATGCTTTTGCAGTTCAATGTGCACCAGTGCTAATACAGCACTTAGTAGCAGGACCAGTTAATGGAAGAGCATCCAACAAAATCCCACATTTTAAGCCAACATAGAGAGCTCTCTAATGTCATTCTCCTAGAGCAGTGCATCTCAAACTATCCATGGTGAACGACTCGTTTTTTTAGATTTCCAAACTCCTGCAAACTGATATGTGACCTTACTTCATAGGACTAATATGCAACACAACTCCCACCAGATGTGATTTGCCATTTGAGTTTGTCACTCAAACTGACCCATAGCTTCTTCAACAAGAGACCACTAATCATAAGCTTGGATATGGTGGCAATACTGAATTGCTACTGAGGTTTATTTTTCTTCCTTTTTTTTTTTTTTTTTTAAAAAAAAGATAGGGTCTCACTCTGTTGCCCAGCCTGAGTACAGTGGTGTGATCATGATTCACTATAGCCTCAAACTCCTGGGCATGTGCAATCCTCTTGCCTTAGCCTTCCAAGTAGCTGGGACCACAGACATGCACCACTACACCCAATACTTTATTTTATTTTTTGGAGATAGGGTCTCGCTCTGTCACCCAGGCTGGAGTGCAGTGGCATGATCACAGCTCACTGCAGCCTCAAACTCCTGGGCTCAGTGGTCTTCCCACCTCAGCCTCCCAAAGTGTTGGGATTTCCAGTGGTGTGCATGGCACAGTGGTGTGCACACCATTTCCAGTGCACACCACTGCACCCAGCTAATTTTTACAATTTTGTGTGGAGATGGGGTCTCGCCATGTTGCCCAGGCTGGTCTTGAACTTCTGGCTTCAAGTGATCCTCCTGCCTCTGCCTCCCAAAGTGCTAGAATTACAGGCATTAGACACCACACCTGGCCTTTTAAAATTTTTTGTAGAGATTGGGGTCTCACTGTGTTACCAAGGCTCATCTCAAACTCCTGGCTTCAACTAATCATCCCATCTTGGCCTCTCAAAGTGCTAGGATTATAGGCGTGAGCCACCACACCTAGACTACTGAGGTTTTTCAGTGCTTAACTCCCAAGTTTCATTCTTTTTTGCACCCTGGTGATAGTTTGTGGAATAGCATCTGCCTCCAGACCACACTTTGAGGTAGAATGTCTTAAATAATTCTAAGAAAAGGTTAACGATGGGCCCATTGTAAAAAAAGACTAAGTATATAGAATCCACCTTTGGAACTACCAAGTAATTAAAACATATCTTTCCCCTAAAAAAGTTTCAAAAAGTCAATATGAGAATTTGGTAATTCAATATTCAAAAACAGAAAGATTCTGCTTTCTGTAGTATTCCCTTGCAGTCAACAGTGTCTTACATAATTACAAAGGGAGATGAATTGTCTGTCACTCTGTCCCTGTACACTCTATACAGCTACTGAATGGTTGTGTTTTGGTTGAGCAGGGGTTTACAATAGTGTTTTCCTATAAATGAGCAATGTGTGAAGAGGTAAAATATTGGGAGAAACTGGAGTTTCTGTAGGCAAGGCAACTCTTGCTCCTTGGATCAGCAGAAGCTGCAAGCTAGCCATGGCAACATTCGGTCCTAGTGTAAGCAGAAGGAGAGGAGTCAGTGGAAGTGGCGATTTCTCATACTACAGTAAGTACTCGGCCCAGAGTGCTGCATTTACCCACCTCTTTTAACAAGTCCCTGTTAGCGTGCTATTCTGATAAAGGCTTCTACAGGTGAACTCTCAAGGGAAATTACTGTTTACTATGTGCCATACCCTGTTTCATGTATTTTGCATGTATTGACTCCTCATCCAATCCTGTGACATAGGCACTAATATTTTTCCATTGTATAGATGAAGAAACTGAGGCACAGAGAAGTCCAATAACTTGCCTGAGGTCACCTATGACCTCATTCAGTGTAAAATCATTGGTATGCAAGAAATAGCTGAAGGCAGAACTTTCTGAAATTCTGCATCTAAAAATGAGCTTGGTCCTGGGTACAGACTGGGAGGAAGTTATCTTTTTCACAGCTCCAACCAAAGGTAGCCAGCAAGCCACTGATCCCCACTAGCACCTAGGGAAAGGCAGCATGGGGAAATTGTTATATGCGCAGGATGTAGGCCCAGCTAACCCTGCCCCTGCTTACATATCAGCAGGGGTGAGTGTGGCAAGTTCCTGTACCTCACTATACTTTATTTCTCTCAACTGAAAATGAAGTTCATAAAAATACCAATCTCAAGGGTTATGAGATTAGTTCCTGGAATATAGGGAGCGCTCAATAAAACTTAGCTATTATCTTTTCCCTCTTTTCTATTCTTTATTACCATTCACTCGCATTTCGAGCTAAATATACTATAGCACATCATATTGCTATTTAACTTCCTGGCTGTGTGTCTTGTCTCAATAACAAGACTGTGCTCTTGAGAAGGTCAAGAAGCAAGTTCTACATGTCCTGTTTGTCACAATTTTCGGCACAATGCCTTGCCCACTGCAGGTACTCAAAGAGCACTGTGCTTTGATGAGTTATTCCAAAAGCTATCCTCATGGTGGAGGGTGTGGTCCAGGCATGCTGGGTGGACAGAGATTTACACGCCTTCTCCATTGCTTCCAACAGAGTTACTTTTTCCCTAGCGAGGGAGCAATTGAGAATGGATTATTTCTTCATACACTTTGATATATTTTCCCTGTAGTTTACCGAATACATAAAGTAGGACGGGAGTTAGGTCATGTGGTAGGTTATGATTGTATTATACCTCTACATCAAGAGAAAAAAATGTTAAGCCAATTGTATTCTAGGATCTCAGGTGGACAGAAAGTCAATTGCAATCTAGTCACACCTTGCTCCATCTGTCTGTCCTGCTATGCTGACAGCACATACGGCTGTGGAAAGGGCACTGCAATGGAAACCTGATTTGTGTCCCAGCTGTTTGTATCTTTTTGATCCTGGACAACTGTTTATTCTGTCTGGGCCCAGGCTTCTGTATGTATAAAATGAGGAATTTAGATGAAAGTGTCTGTCTCCAAGGTTTTCTAGCAAGGCTGCCTCGCTGTGGAGTGGATGCTGGGATGCACCCTATCTCTTCAGACATGACTCATTCCCCAGCTGCTGGAAGTAATGCCAACAGTCATCCCATAACCGGACGGCTGTGGCTGAAGACGGCTGACTCGTCCAAGGTCACACCACTTCCTGGGAAGCCTTTCCTGTACTCACTGGCTGGTAGAAGTAGCACAGACATATAAAAGACAGGCCTCTGGGAGGCCAAGGTGGGCGGATCACGAGGTCAGGAGATGGAGACCATCCTGGCTAACATGGTGAAACTCTGTCTCTACTAAAAATACAAAAACAAAAACTAGCCGGGCGTGGTGGCGGGCACCTATAGTCCCATCTACTCGGGAGGCTGAGGCAGGAGAATGGCATGAACCCGGGAGGCAGAGCTTGCAGTGAGCCAAGATCATGCCATTGCACTCCAGTCTAGGTGACAGAGCGAGATTCCGTCCCCCCCCCCCAAAAAAAAAAAAAAAAAAAAAAAGCCAGGCCTCCTTGCCCCAACTCTGGACTCCTCTGATGGCTGCCCTGGAACTCCCCAGAGGGTAACTTCCATTGTGACTGTATTGCAGCTCCACTTATCCTTCTGTCCAATTCCATGCCTTCCTGTCCCTTCCCTAGGCATTGATCCCAAGAGTACTTCCTAATAAACCTCCTGCACACTTAACCTCTGGGTAAGATCTGCTTCAGGAAATCTAACCTGCAACAGCCTGGAAATCACTCCCTCCATTAGAGTGTCTGGAGAAATGTATCCTGTGAAATGGCCCTCTAGTTCTCTATATAAATAGAGGTAATACATCTTGGCCTTACCTACCATAGAGTTGCTGTGATGATGAGCTCAGAAGGTCAAAGCACTCTTGTCATCTGTGAAGTGCTATACAAATGTTCATTATTATTACTAATAACACCAGCACACTGACTATAGGTAAACTGGTTTGTGCTGCCACAGAAAGGTCTTCGTTGTCTTGGTTCTAGTCCTGCTCCTGTGTCCAACACGGCTTTGATCATGTTATCTCAAACAATATACACAGTCAAGTGTGTATATTAGCTCTGGGCCATATTTAGCCAACCTCTTTTTCAGTTCCCTCTCATGCACATCCCACATTCTGCCCAAACAGTCCCCTTGCTACTCAGACCTGCCCTGTACTTTATCACAGCAAAGCTGGTGCTCACACCACCACTTCCTCTTTAATGCCACTGGCTTTGCCTGTTGAAATTCTGTCTACTATTTAAGTCTCATTGCAACGACTACATGTTAGAAAGTGTCTCCTTCTAGCTATGGACCAACAACTCTCCTTCTTTCCAGAGCACACTTTCTAGAAGCAATCCCCACTGAGGGTTTTCTCTGCCTACCTCCTAGGGGTCCCTCAAACTACCAGTTTGTTCTGATCCACTGGTCTTACTTAGGTCACCTCTCAGTTGCCAGATCAAGTCAATGGCAAAATATCTTACTTGACCTCACTGCAGCAGTTAAGACTGTTGACTATTCTTTGCTCTATAGAACTCTCAGCCCTTAACTTGTGAGATTCCACTGTTTCTTTCTCTCCTGGCTCTTCTCATACTTCTGGCTATGCCTTCTCAGCCTCCTTCTATTTTTACTCTTACAAACCAAACCGCAAGAGTCCACACACAACCCTCTGCTGCTCTCTCACTATTTGCCACTCCCATGTATAGAGCTTTAAAATCAGCCTGTATGCTGACAATTCCCGTTCGGACTTGATTACGACCTTTCCTGAATTCCAAAATCAGGCTACCTGCTGCTTTCTGCACATATTTATTTACCTATAAATCACACAGCTACAAACATATTCTAAACTGAACTCACCTTCTTTCTCACCCACTCCCAAAAGAGATGAATGACCTTCAAAGAACACCCATGTCCATTAATTTGGGCACTGTCCCCAAATATGCCATGCTCATTTCCACTTCTTCACTAGCTCCCCTCCTTTCTACTTGCCTGAGACTCAGTATTCCTTCCTTCCAGCCACAGCTCCAGTGCTAGCTCCTTCACAAAGCTCTCCTAGCCTCTTTGCCCCAGACTACCTGTTTTCTACTTTTGTTGTCTCAGGTGCATTGTAAACAGGTAAGAGGCATAGTAACTTTGGATAATGAAGTGGAAACTCCTTTATGTTTTAAAGAAAAGTTTATCCATGACTGGTAAGAAGGTGCATGCATAATACAGTACTTATAGACCTTGACCAAAGGGCAAATGGCCAAGAAAGAAATCCTCTAAATGACTGCTGATCCAGCAAGACACCACTCCAGGTATTCCCCAGAGAGATTCCAAGAAGGAACAACTCAGCACCACTAGCTTCCAGTCACTCTTGATTTCTTGAACATTTTTTGAACGCTCATACCTCATGCGGTTTCTTCTGTCTAAAATGTCCATCTCATTCACTCTTGCTTTCTTGGAGGTTGAGCTTCCTCATCCACTAATGCTTAGCCCAAATGTCCCTTCCTCTGTGAAGCTTTTTAACTCTCTCTGAACTTCCCATGAATTTATTTCCTCCTCTTCTTTCTGCCCAGGTAATTTGTTCCTACTCCTAGTATAGCACTTACCAAATCACAGTATAGTTTTACATTTGGGCCCCTGAAAGTCTCCCTGGCAACTGAGGGCAGGGTGGACATCATGTTCATCTTTAGGCTATCAGTCTGATTCCAGACAGTGTGGAGGCTATGTGCCTATGGGTGCTTTACAAAAACTCAATGTGGGGAGTATTATATATTAATTCCAATTTATGGAAGAAAAAAAATGGACTTAGGGAGATTAGGAAACTCATTAAATCACCATATCCCCAGCATCTGGAACAAAAATATTTGTTGAAAGACCTTGTAAGTATATTTGTTTTAGGTCACATAGCTAACAAATGGCAAAGCAGGAAATCAAACCCAGGACCCCTTGGCTCTTAAACCCCATGTTTTCATTATCCCTAGAAAGCGTCCTTCCTTTACGTCATAGCAGCATGAAAACGAGAGACAGAAGCCCCTCCTAGTAACTCTGTGAAAGCACACTGTTCTCACCTCTTGCCTTCTATTTGAGGTGACATAATCCCTGCTTATAAATGTTATTTCAAACATTTTCACTGCTTTTCCAATCTCTTTAAGTCACTTGAGTTTTTTTTCCCACACACATTAGAATGTGAAAGTTCAACTGGACACAGTAGCACTTTCTGATGCTAGAGGAGAAGGGTCCCTGTTGAAGGTACTGGATAAGTCATTGACCCAGAGGAAGAGAAGCAAAGCACTAACTTAGACTTTATATAAATGTATAGATATATATTTTTTCAAGGCTGAACCATCCAAATTGGAAAGGAACACAAATTTTTGCTCTAAAACTCTCAAAGTCAAAACTCTGAATATACACTTTAAGTCTGGGCATTTCTACCCTCATGACTTAGATAATTTAAAAAAAAAAAAAAGCCACTTTAAATAATCTTCGCTTTATCTGTGGTTTCACTTCCAGTGGCCAACTGTGGTCCAAAAATATCACATGGAAAATTCCAGAAATAAACAATTCATGAGTTTTAGACTGTGTGCAGTTCTGTGTAATGAACTCTCACGTCATCCTGCTCTGTCCTGCTTGGGATGTGACTCACCCCTTTGTCCACCGTATTCGCACTGTAGACACTACCTGCTCGTTCATTAGTCACTTAGCAGCCACTGTGTTATCAGGCTGGCTGTCACGGTATTGCAGTGCTCATGTTCGAGTAACTCTTATTTGACTTCATAATGGCTCCAAAGCACAAGAGTAGTGATGCTGGCCATTTGGATATGCCAAAGGGAAGCGATAAAGTGCTTCTTTTAAGTGAAAAGGTGAACGTTCTTGACTTAAGGAAAGAAAAAAATCGTACACCGAGGTTGCTAAGATCTACTGTAAGAATTTCCTATCTGTGAACTTGTAAAGAATGAAAAAGAAATTCATGCTAGTTTTGCTGTCATACCCCAAACTGCAAAAGTTATAGCCATGGTACATAAGTGCTTAGTTAAGATGGAAAAGGCACTAAATTTGGGGGTGGAAAACATAAACAGAATAAGCAGAAATGTGTTCCAACTAATGGCAATCCGGTTCACTATTATCCACAGTTTCAGGTACTCACTGCAGGTCTTGGAACACATTCCCTGTGGATAAGGTGGACTACTGTATTTCTTTACCTAATAAAAATAAATCAAAATGCTGGACAAAAAAATAAATCCCTACATGGGGGAGCATACAATTTCGCATCTATCCTAAATTAACAATTATCAAGTATTCTTTAAAGGCTCATATGAGCATGGGTTGCTTTGCAACCAAGGAGTTTCACTGTTGATGCTAAGCCTAAAAATAAGACCAGGAGCTCAGAGAAGTTCAATGCCCAAGTTGCTACTCACAGATTTATATTCAAAGTTTCTAAAACTTGTTTTGTTATTTCTATTTGCCTCTGCCCAAAAGTGCTCAGATAGTTGAGACATTGTTATGGCCAGTTTCTTTGTAATGTTTCTTGAAAACAACACCTTGGTCTTACAAATCACAAGGAGTGCACAATGTAAGGGAATGGCTCAGTGCAAAACTAGCAATAGTATGGTAAAATATTCAGAATATACTGATGAGTTCAGCCACTTTATCTCCCTATATGGGAGGCACTGGTCTACTCTTGGGTGAATGGAACAGTCTCTGGGAGCTAGTTCATCGGTATGAAGACATTTCACAGCACTTTAATAATCCAGCATTTATGCCTACAAAGGTCTATTTTCCTGGGAACTGAGGCTTAGCATTCCTACAGAGCATTAGCTACACCACCCTTGACAACTGTATTATAAACTTTGATTGCTGTAGCCAGCATATTTTTGACGGATATAAATTGGTTACAACATTACATGTAACCTCACCTATTTTTCCCACTATATCTGAGAGTAGAATTGCAACAATAATAGTTTGGATCGCTCTATTTTTTAAAACAGAATGTTTCTATAATGTTTATCAATATTACATATTATGCTTAAATACAAATACAAATGGCATGTTGGAACACTTAATTGAATTCAGCATCACCATCCTTAATATGTTAGAAACTAAGGTGTTTATGTTAGCTTACCTTTTGTGCATTTTCCCCATCTTCAATTGCAAAATCCAGTCTGGGCTGCCTGGGGCTGATCAGGTCTTTTAGTGTTAAACAATTCACCTCCATCTGTAATGCACAATTACACTAGAAAATGATTTTGCAATTAGGTACCTTTTCCTCAACAAAAATATCTACATATGTGTTACTTGTTTGTCAGTATGAAACTCCCCCTTGCCTAAGCACATCCTGGGCATTTCCAGGAGTTGTAGCCACCCTTAACTTTCTGAAACATACGAACAAACTCAAACACCTAAAGTGTGCTTAGTAATACTGAAAATCTGGGAAGAAAAAAAATCTACAAAAAACAGTACTTCTTTATGAAAAGCTAGACGGCAAAATAAAGTTACCAAGTCGGAAGGGTGTTGGGCAAATCTGTCAGAAAGTACAGGGTCTCCCAGGTCAGTTAATTTTGGCGCAAAGAACTGAGAGGAATTCGGCTTTGAGGGGTTTTGAATCAGGGGGAAGGAAACTCGATCGCCAGACCAAACCCACTCAGCGCTGAGCGTAGTCCCTTCCCAGGCCTCCGAGCAGATCCCCCAAATAAACTCCTCCAATGAAAGCCCCAAGTTGTGGGGAAGGGCAAATTCCCTCTACTGCCGGGCTGGAGGGAGAGCTGCACCCGGCACACCCTCTGCGCACCGGGTCCCCCGGCAGAAACATCTCGAGCCCTCGCCAGCCGGGGGACGTGAGGGGTGGCAGGTTGGCAGCCGGGGCGGGAGGGGTCCCCGTATCCCAATTCCCGCCTCCCCACCAGCGCTGGGGCCACACGCTTACCGCTTACCCCTGCTTTCCTAAGGAGGCTTCCTGCCTCTGCAGGGACCTCCACCGACCCAAGCCGATGAGGGAAGGTGGTGCGGCGATCAGCAGCCGGGCGGCGGCATCTGGAAGGGAGAGCTAGGTGCGCAGATCCCCGCGCCGAGTGCCCTGGGCTGGCGGGGACCCCGCGGCGTCCCGACAGCGCCAGCGCTCAGACCCGCCGAGCGCGACTCCAGCCTGGATCTTAGTCCCCGCTAAAACACCTCCTCTGGCGCCTTGAGACCGAATTTGAGAATCCACCAATCAGCGGCGGCCGGCGGGGTGGCCCCGGCCAATCGTGCGGCGGCACGGCCCGGGCTCACCACCCCTCGGACTCTTGGCGCTCCGAGTCGCGCGTTTTGCCCTCACCCGCCCAATTGTTGCCGCCTCGGCCCCCTCCCCCTTCCGGGTACCTGGAAACCTCGGGCCCGGGAGCCAATTCCTGCTGGGGACGCGGGCCCGGGCGGCCGCGGGAAGCCAAGGTGGGGGCGGCGCGGGGCGGCGCGGGGCGGCGGGAGAAGGAAGAGGAGGAGGAGGAGGAGGAGGGCTCTTTTGTTATGCATAGAAGACCCGCGCACGTCCCCAAGGCTTGCCGCGCCGGGGGACCCCAGGCACAGCCAGAGGAGAGGAAAGCAGATGGGGTTTGGAAGAACGATCTACACCCTCTGGATGCTGCTGCCGCCATCCCCACCCGCCCTCAGCAACCTGTGCGGAAGCGGAGTTGTCCAGACTTGCCGGGGCAAACTTCCTAACACCGCACGCTGGTGTGACACATGAACCATGGTTACCGCTCTGCTGTGAGCAGATGGCACGCCAGTTAGCCCTGGAGACTAGACTGGAAGCCAAACCAGAAATTTGTGTGTGTGTGTGTGGCAAATCCGGAAATGTTTTTTGGTGTTCCCTTTTCGGCACATTGCAAATAATTAGGAGGGAAAAAGCTTTATGTAAAAAAGTAATTCTTTGCAATAGGGACTAGCATTCTGGGCGACAGTCTAGAAAATTTCCTCAACACCACTGATTTGTATTAAGTGTTTCACTTCTTTCATCCTACAGTTTCTTGTTTAAAATATGAATGTTGGTAGTGATAGATTTTTTTTACAAAATAGACTTTATTGTTTAGAAGTTTTCAATTTACAGAAAAATTGAGATAGTACCAAGAATACCCATATATTCAGCACCCAATTTCACCCACTATTAACATTTTGTGTTAGTATAGAATATTTTTTGTAATTAATGAACTAATATTGGTAGATTCTTCTGAGCTAAAGTCATTACTTTATTCAGATTTCCTTAATTTTTTCCTAATGCCCTTTTTTTTTTCTGTTCAGGATACCACATTACCTTTAGTTCCCATGTCTCTGTAAGCTCCTTTTGGCTATGACAGTTTCTCATACTTTCCTCATTTTTGACACCTGGACATTTTTGAGTTGTATCGGTCAAGTATTTTGTAGGATATCCCTCAACTGAAATGTGAGACAGCCTTAAAGCATCAGACATTCTTAAATGTACAGACATTTCCCTACACCCCATATACTTTACAGCAAAGGTATCATTTTCCTTTGTACCAAGGCTCCACGCTTCACCACTTACCCTCCAAATATTTTTATTTTATTTTTGGAGATGGAGTCTCGTGCTGTCACCCAGGCTGGAGTGTAGTGGCAAGATCTCAGCTCACTGAAACCTCCACCTCCTCCTGGGTTCAAGCGATTCTCTGCCTCAGCCTCCCGAGTAGCTGAGATTACAGCTGTGCTCCACCACGCCCGGCTATTTTTTGTATTTTCGGTAGAGACGGGGTTCCACTGTGTTGGCCAGGCTGGTCTTGAACTCCTGACCTCAGGTGAACCGCCTGCCTCCACCTCCCAATAGTGCTGGGATTACAGGTGTGAGACACTGCGCACGGCCTCAAATACATATATTTTAAATGAACTCTCAGCAGAATTCAGACTGCTCAATCACGTCCTTCACTTCATACTCTAGATTGCTGGTAAATAGAGCCTTAAAAAAAAAAAATCACTGCTAGGTCATACATTGAAAAGAGAAAAGTGTGCAAAACATTAAACAAAAGAAACAATAGTAATAAAAATCTGACATTTTTATAGGAATAAAATTTTGAACTGAAAACTTTTTTGTAGGTAGAAACCTAATGAGACGTTTAAAGAATAAAAAATTGCAACCTATTAAATTTTGCACATATGTGGAAGCAGGAAGTAGATAAGGAAATACTTTTCCCAACGGTATTCATTTTCTAATGCTGTTGTAACAAATTACCACAACTGGCTTATGAGGACAGGGATTTATTCTCTCACATTTCTGGAAAGTTAAGGTGTTCCCAGGGCTACACTCCAGGGGCTCTTATCCTTTTCTTCTTCCTGTTTCTGGTGGCTGTTAACAATCCTTGACTTGTGGCAGCCTCACTCCAATCTCTACCTCCATGGTTACGTTGCTTTCTCTTTTGTCTGTTAAGTCTCTCCCATGTGTCTCCTATGAGGATACCTGTCACTGAAATTAGGTCCTACCTGGATAGTCCAGGATGATCTCATCTTGAGATCTTCAATTTAATTGCATCTGGGAAGATCCTCTTTCCAGAGTCATGTTCCTTCATGGGTTCTGGGGATTAGGATATGAACACACCTTTTTGGAGCCCACCAGTCAGCCTTCTAGACCAACATTCAAATTATTAAAGTCCATTCATTTCTCTGATATTTCAAAATACTAGTGATGGTTTCTTTGAGGTTAGACAGTTTCATGGTGCAGAACTTTTCCTAGCATTTTCAGAGTAAGAGTACTTTCTCTATTTTGATACAAATGTAGCCGCTATTCAAGTTACCAAAAAAAAAACTCAGTTGGATACATCACTTCAGGCACTTATGATTTCATTGATTATAGGAGTTATCTTAGATTTGGAGGAAAACTGGAAAATAAATATTTGATGGACAAATTCAGAGACATTATTCCAACACACTTATATTGATGTTTTATATTGATGTTTTTAAGTCCCAGAATGCATACATAACCTGTCAATCTCTCGGTGATTCAGTTAACACTGATGTTGGCTGAGAATTAGGCTGGAGTATCAAGAAGAGTCTCGACATGTGACCTCTCCATATGGCCTGGTCCTCCTTACAGCATGGTAGCTCAAGGTAGTTGGACTTCTTCCAGGGTGGCTCCTGGGATCCAAAGTGAACATGCCATGTAGCAAAGTGGAAATAGTATCACCTTTTGTGATGTAGCCTGAGAAATGATAGCATCAATTCCACTACAGTTTTTGGGAGGAAGCAGTCAAAAATCCACCCATATTCAAGGGGAGAAGACATATACCTCACTCTCAATGGAAGAAATGTCAAAGAATTTGGGGCTATATTTTTCTCTCTCTCTCTCTATATATGTGTGTATATATATACATATATATTTATATACGTGTATATGTGTATATATTTAAATTATACTTAAGTTCTGGGATGCATGTACAGAACATGCAGGTTTGTTACATAGGTATACACATGCCCTGGTGGTTTGCTGCACCCATCAACCCGTCATCTACATTAGCTATTTCTCCTAATGCTACCCCTCCCCTTGCCTCCCACCCCTGACTGACCCAGGGGGTGATGTTCCCCTCCCTGTGTCCATGTGCTCTCATTGTTCAACTCCCACTTATGAGTGAGAACATGCAGTGTTTGGTTTTCTGTTCCTGTATTAGTTTGCTGAGAATGATGGTTTTCAGCTTCATCCATCTCCCGGCAAAGTACATGAACTCATCCTTTTTTATGGCTCCATAGTATTCCATGGTGTGTATGTGCCACATTTTCTATTATTGATGGGCATTTCGATTGGTTCCAAGTCTTTGCTATTGTAAACAATGCTGCAATAAACAAAGGTGTGCATGTGTCTTTATAGTAGAATGATTTATAATCCTTTGGGTATATACCCAGTAATGGGATTGCTGGGTCAAATGGTATTTCTGGTTCTAGATCCTTGATGAATCACCACACTGTCTTCCACAATGGTTGAACTAATTTACACTCCCACCAACAGTGTAAAAGTTTTCCTATTTCTCCATATCCTCTCCAGCATTTGTTGTTTCCTGACTTTTTAATGATTGCCATTCTAACTGGAATGAGATGGTATCTCACTGTAGTTTTGATTTGCATTTCTCTAATGACCAGAGATGATGAGCTTTTTTTCATATGTTAGTTGGCCACATTAATGTCTTCTTTTGAGAAGTGTCTGTTCATATCCTTCACCCACTTTTTGATGGGGTTGTTTGTTTTTTTTTCTTGTAAATTTGTTTAAGTTCCTTGTAGATTTTGGATATTAGTCCATTGTCAGATGGATAGATTGCAAAAATTTTCTCCCATTCTGTAGGTTGCCTGTTCACTCTGATGATAGTTTCTTTTGCTGTGCAGAAGCTGTTTAGTTTAATTAGATCCTATTTGTCAATGTTGGCTTTTGTTGCCATTGCTTTTGGTATTTTAGTCTTTGTCCATGCATATGTCCTAAATGGTATTGCCTAGGTTTTCTTCTAGGGTTTTTATGATTTTAGGTCTTATGTTTAAGTCTTTAATCCATCTTGAGTTAATTTTTGTATAAGGTATAAGAAAGGGGTCCAGTTTCAGTTTTCTGCATATGGCTAGCCAGTTTTCCTAACACCATTTATTAAATAGGGAATCCTTTCGCCATTGCTTGCTTTTGTCAGGTTTGTCAAAGATCAGATGGTTGTAGATGTGTAACATTATTTCTCAGGCATCTGTTCTGTTCCATTGGTCTATATATCTGTTTTGGTACCAGTACCATGCGGTTTTGGTCATTGTAGTATAGTTTGAAGTCAAGTAGCGTGATACCTCCAGCTTTGTTCTTTTACTTAGGATTGTCTTGGGTTCTTTTTGGTTCCACATGAAATTTAAAGTAGTTTTTTCTAATTCTGTGAAGGAAATCAATGGTAGCTTGATGGGGATAGCATTGAATTACTTTGGGCAGTATGGCCATTTTCACGATATTGATTCTTCCTGTCCAAGAGCAGGGAATGTTATTCCATTTGTTTGTATCCCCTCTTATTTCTTTGAGGAGTGGTTTGTAGTTCTCCTTGAGGAGGTCCTTCACATGCCTTGTAAGTTGGATTCCTAGGTATTGTATTCTCTTTGTAGCAATTGTGAATGGGAGTTCACTCATGATTTGGCCGTCTATTTGTCTGTTATTGGTGTACAGGAATGCTTGTGATTTTTGCATATTGATTTTGTATCCTGAGATTTGGCTGAAGTTGCTTATTGGCTTAAGGAGATTTTGGGCCAAGACGACGGGGTTTTCTAAATATACAATCACGTCATCTGCAAACAGACAAT